TAGCACCTTATACTCCGTTTGAAGAAAATGGCCACAACTGCCTGACAGGTTGTAGGCCTGTCAGGCTGATCCAGAGCCTTTGGAACTTCAGGTATACCAAATATCAGTCTCAGATTCACCGGATGACTCTCAACCCAGGTTAAAGTCTCGCCTAGATCTATGTTTGTTATTGGGTATTGGCCGCTTTGTTTGTCATACCTGAACTGAACCCAAACACTACATATGTCAAAGGGAGCAAACAGCACACACATTGACATGCTGCCAACGCATTACAAACCATTGGCAGATTCAAAAATCTGCCTAAAAAAAAATTGGCTAATGAATATAATTTGAGATGCAAGAAATATCTGCAAGCTCCACCATCATGGTATTTTAAAAAGGAAAGAAGGCGTCAGATCCCTGATCTCATACCAGGAAGAAGGCTTGTTCTTTACTGCATTCAAACATGGCCTTATCTTGATCAACTTCATGCAGCCCAAATATAGAACATGGGGTTGAAGCAAACACACCTGAATAAGGGCACAGAACGTCGATCTCCTGCAGGTCCAGATTTTCTCAACCACTCAAGCACTGAAGTACACATACATACTAGGGCTTCCCAAGAAAATCTGTCCTTTGTCCTTCTCGAATACCCAAAACTCTTCTGTGCATTGTTCGGCGGGGAAGGGGGGTGACATTCCGCCCAGCCTCTACGTTCCAACCCACATTCCAGACCGTCTATCACCAACGGGGCATTGACCCATTGACAACATCACCCCCACTCCAGTTGTATCGATTGGCTAATCATGATGAAGCAAATGAAAGAAGTATGTAGCCAGAGTGCGCGGCCGATCATACTGCTACCCAAGTCGACTGATGATGGGATAACAAGCTATCATGACGCTTACACTGCAAGTACCAACCTTGGAACTTAGTAGGAGATCATCCTTCTGTTCCAGCTATATGGCTGGTCCTGGTTCCTTGGACAACTCTGAACGGCTCGGAGAGCGTTCCGACCCCTTTCCTTTCCCAATGGTCGTGCTCTTACTCCGTACGGGTTATGTCGATCTTCAAATTAAAGGTGTCGGCACAACATGCCTAAGTCCTCCCCAGACCTGCTTCACCAACTAATTTGATGACTGTTCCACTGCTTCTGGCTTAGTGAAGGAGGGTTGCATTCCCGCGGGTGGCTATCCGGAACGAAACCTCTTTGGGCGTTGGCGAAGATTGACAGCTCGGCCAGCCATTTAGATTTCCACAACTACGATTGGCTTGGAGAGTCTTGAATCATTCCTTCGGGTGGTTGGTGGGGCCAGCCAGGAGCCAACCGGGCCCTCTATAGCGCATTCCTTGTCCATCTTTAGAGCACTTGGAATGTGTCTAGAAATTCTGAGGCTGGTGTCCCTGGCAGCCATTCAAATAGGGCTTGCATCTGTTTGTTTGCTTTGCTTTCTTTGCATCATCTGCAGTGTTTTCTTTGATTGACAATCTATCAAACATTCAAACACTCAAACATTCAAACACACTTCCCTTCTTTATTTGCATCCTTTGCATTCTCTCGGATATCCGGGTCGATCCCCCCGAACTATTCCCAAACTTTCCAAAGCTCTATTCCAAGACTATATCTTTGGTTGTCCAATCAAATCCAAGTATTTGGATCTTCAGTCGCTGACTACACAATCGCCTCGTACTTTTACTATTGTCGCTGCAAACGGAAAATCCGACAAGATGTTCGCCCAACCATACGACCATTCGTTCAATGACTTGTTCAACCAATACGTCAACATGGAGACTAGTGCCGCTGATGGAAAAGATTCGGCGTTGTCCGATTTTGATCAGCTTTTCCCACTTGACTCGCTATCAAGTGATTGTGGCGATCTCCCACCTACTGTCTCCACTCCCAAACGCCATCAATCACCGCAACCCTGGAGTAATGAGTGGTCCCTGCAGAATGACGGGGCCGCTGTCGATCATTTTGCTTTCCATGACACCGTCCACCCCTCTGCAATCTCAGATGTCAATCTGAACGACTTTGAAGTTCCCTCTCGCCCTACAGCAACCCACGCCCTGTCTACTTCTCCATCCACTCCTCCCGCTACCCCTAGACGGAAGCCTACCCAGAGTGCTCTCATCACTCCTAAATCTATCCGCCATCGCAGCCCGAATGAGCGTCGCTCTCATTTGCGCAAGCAAAGTTTCTCCCCCAGTTTAATGCGCTCTTCCAACCTATCCAAATCAAGAATGGCATATCCCGAGGCCTGGGCCCAGCAACTTCAGAACTTCAGTCTTCACACTTCCGAAGATCGTCTGCCACTGTCGCCTCCACCATCGGATGTCCTCATTCAGCATGAAAACATGCCCACCGAACACATCATGAACCAACCTAGAGACTCAGCAGAGATGCCTCCTCAGTACGACGCAAGACTATATCACCAGTCTCCCTCAGTTTCAATGCCATCGCCGAACATCGCAATGGCAGCACGCCAGCAACAGCACTATATTGCTCACCCAAGCTCTTCCACCTTGACTAGCTCCAGTCCTTCTTCCGCAGATGATATGTTCTCTTCATCTCACTCATCTGACCCCCAATCACTCTCCTCTTGGCAATCCGACCCTCTTCATGCCTCATCTCTCCCTTTCACTCCAGACCTCCAAGGCCAAGATTCTCAATGGTGGTCCCCCATGCCTTCTCGGGTCGCTCAACAACAGGCCTCTTACCTCGCATCTCCCACACCTGTCCGCACCACGCAAAGCCTTGGAAGCCAAAACGACATTATGCAAGGAGGACTAATGATCCAATTCAATCCCTCTTATGACATGTCGGCGGACCACTCGTTCTCTTCATCTAATATGCTCCCCGCCACCCCTCAAAAATTCGACACCTCCTTCACCACCTCCCAACTCCACAATGGCTCCCGTTCACCATCTCTCTCTCCCAAGGCCGGCACATCACCCAGGAACAACATCCACAATGGTTCCATCTCTAAGCCCACCCATCGCCGCACACACAGCCGCAAGCTCTCCGGCCAGAGCATAAGTGCTCCCAAGCCCGCCAAGGCATCTGGCTCCTCGTCCCGAGGCTCAAACAAGTCTGTCAGCGTATCGTTCGTAAACTTTACCGCTCACGACAGCAAGAAGATCCTGACCGGAGTTGCTCCCTCCGGCAGCTCTAAGACCAAGGCTCGCCGCGAGCAAGAGGCCCGTGATAGACGTCGCAAGCTGAGTGAAGCCGCATTGAGGGCTGTGCGCAGCGCTGGTGGCGACGTCGAAGCTCTCGAGGCTGTTCTCTGTTAAACTTGTGTTTTGTTTTGTTTGTTTTGTTTTGTTTTGTTTGTGTTTGATCTTCGCTTCTGTCCTTTTTTGTCTCTGTTTCTTTCAGCCGGTGTTTTAGGGTTATATCATTGGGAATATCTGGTTTGCTTTTGGAGTTTACGGTTTTGCTTTCAGGCTTGGGCCCGGGTTATACACCCTCAAAATGTTAGACTATTCTAATATCTAGACTCTTCTGTGGATATCTAATCCATAATACTTTGTGACTATCCACCTACTGCTGTAGATTTTCTTTCTTTTTTCGGGCTTTAGAAATTTTGTGGTATACGTCTTTCTTTGCCAAACTGGTGAGCTTCATCCCTTCTTTTTCACTATTGCCACCATCATTATTACTGTTTTCTGTGGCTAACCATTTTTTTCTATCGAGTCCTCCATACTCAGCCATCCATGCACCAAGCTCTCCATAAACTAAGTCCTCCATACACAGTCCTCCATACATTAAGTCCTTCATAAACTAAGTCCTCCATACATTCAGTCCTCCGCACACAGTCCTCCATACACTAAGTCCTCCATACACTAAGTCCTCCATACACTAAGTCCTCCATACACTAAGTCCATACCCCATGTCCCATACAATGTCCCATACAACTTGCCCCATATCCCAAGTCCTACATTATATGTATGACATTGAAGCCTACAACGCGCGCTTCATGCTCCACCGCCGACTATAAATACCATCCCGATTAATTTCTTCTTCTTCTTTCTTCTTCCCTCTCCACGATACATCAAAACACTTTGGTGAGTAAGGACTTTGTTACCTTGCACTGGATTACCCCTTATGCCCTGCCATTGCATGCCAGCCCTATGATATGGGCAGATTGAGCACTTTCTGCATCTCTCTCTATCATTGCATATGCAATTCTCTTACTTTGATCTTCACCAATCTGCCATTTACTTCACTTTGGTATTCACCATTCTCTCACTTGACTTTCATTTGCTCTCACTTGACTTTCATTTGCCCTCACTTGACTTTCATTTGCTCTCACTTGCTACTTTCATGGGATCTCACTTGTTGTCCATTGATTGCTGCACATCTTTTACCCCAAGCCCTAGCCTGCAACACACAATTCTTCTGCTTGCAATCTCATTGAGATTAAGTATTCTGAGTGCCCCTCGGCCTTCACTTGCTACTCCTAGTCCATTCTGATATTCTCATTTGCTGTTGGACATTTGCCTTTTCCTGGTTTGCCTTGATTTCCATTTCTCTTCCATCGAAGAATTTCCCTTGCACCATTATCCATCTCTTTTCACATCTCCGTTGTCATTGCATTGATATTCTCATTGGCATCGCTCTTGGCTGTGGGTCGGGCTACTTGTTTTATCGCATTGCGTGCCCTACATTGCCCATTGCTCTGCTGCATCGGTCCGTCTTTATATCACTGCATCTCAACCGTCTAGCGTTTCATCGTTACTGACTCATTTTACAGACTACATAACCAAACCTGACTTTTTTTTCTTCCTTTTTGAAAAAGGAAATCTGCGGTGGACAAGATCGCGCTTGTCCTGTTTTTGCCTTTGTTCTTCTGTTGTTCCTGTTACCTTTAAACCTCTCCGAAATACCCAAACAATTAGGGTTTCGAATCCTTGTCCTCTTCTTCCACACTTTCTCGAACACGAGCAAAGTTCGCCTTCCCTCTACATTCTTTTCTACTTTTTCGACTACCCCTTTTACATAACCGGCATTCGTTAAAATGTCTGGACGTTCGCACGGTGATCTGCCCATTCGAGGCGGCCGTGGAGGTGGTGACCGTGGCGGTTTCCGTGGCCGCGGCGATGGTGGCTCCGGTAGCCGTGGCAGTGGCCGCGGTTACAGTGGTGATCGTGGGCGTGGAAGTGACCGTGGCGGCAGCCGTGGAGGTCATCACGAACCCGAACTGCCCTCCGGGTAAGTTTATTTGTTCTAAATCACGGGGGAAATATATCTAACATACGCATAGAATGTTGACAGACCCGGTTGAACCCCTAGCACTCGAGTGCAGGCCTTGGAGGACCGGTATGTTACAGAGTCCGCAAAGGCTCGACCAGAGTCCGGCACTTTGGCTCGGCGTCCTGGCTACGGCACCCAAGGTCGTTCCACTACCCTGCGAGCAAACTTCTTCTCTATGGAGTTCAAGCCGCACATCAAGTTTTATTCCTATCGCCTGAAGATCAAGCCCGAGGCCAAGAAAGCGCAGCAAATTTTCATTCTTCAGAGCATGCTCCGCAAATACCCTCTCTTCAACAAAGGAATCGGCGTTGCCACTGATGGGGCCACTGAGATTGTTACAACCGAGCGACTTCCTGAGGATCTAGCGCCATTCGTTTGTTCCATGGGCAACAAAAGTGGCCATGGAAGTGGCCATGGAAGTGGGAATTCGGCACCCTACACCGGCCCTTGGAACGTCACGTTGACCTTTGAAAGCTCTTATTCCCCAGCTGACATGATGGCATGTCTTGAGGACGTCAATCACCGAAGGGAACTTGATAATGAAGCACCCTGTCTCCGAGTACTGAATATCCTCATGAGTGCTTATCCCTACAAAGGTACCGGTATTGCCATCATTGGCAAGGGACGAAACAAATTCTTCCGGATGGATAAGCGAAAGCAGTCAGAGGACATAACGGGTGGCGCCGAAGCCATTCGGGGTTACTACTCAAGTGTGCGTCTCGGTGCTGGACGAATTTTCCTCAATCTGAATGTTAGTCATGGTGCATTCTTCAAACCAGGCCCATTGTTGTATATTATCGAGAAATTCGTCGACATGCACGGTATGAACCGAGAACTTCTAGATCGGTGGTTGAAGGGTTTGAAAGTTCACGTCATGCATCTGGATGCTCGAGAGAACGGACATGGGGTGATGGAAAAACCCGTGAAAACAATCTGCGGAGTTGCCCATCCTAGGGATGGACGCAATAGCCCCAAACCCCCACGGGTTGCTAACCTTGCAAGCTCTGCCGACAACGTGCAGTTTTGGATGGGGGATGATCAGAACGGAAAATATGTGACTGTTGCCGATTACTTTTTGAGAAGTATGTTTACTGTCTATCAGTCAATATTTGAGGTGCGTTGTGCTAACAAGAAATAACAGCTTACAATAAGAAACTCGAGCACCACGATGATAAACCGGTCGTGAACGTTGGAAACCATGATCGTCCAGTTTACATTCCTGCGGAACTTTGCGAAGTCATCCCCGGGCAACCCTTCAAGCCAGAGCTAAACATGTTCCAACGACAGAAAATGATCAAGTTCAGTTGCCGGAGACCTCCTCAGAACTATGCCTCCATTATGACCGAAGGTTTGGACATCCTGGGGATCTCTGAAGGACATACCAAGGTGGTAGGCATCAAGCCCGGCAAGGAGATGATCACTGTACCTGCACGCATTCTGAACCCTCCGAATCTGCTTTATGGTGGCAAGAAGACCACTAACCCTCGAAATGGTGCGTGGAATCTGGTGGGAACCAAGTTCTCCCAGTGCGCCAGCATCAAAAAATGGACCTGTCTTTGGATTCGGAAGCAGGGTGCTCGTGAGAAGCTCACAGATCCAGAGACTGCGATCGACATGTTTTACAGAAGAATGCGCGATCATGGCCTGTCGCTGCCACCGCCCACTAAGCCGTATATGCAAATCCTTCTCAATAACGATGATAGAGAAAATCGAAAGAATATCCGGGAGGCGTTCAAAAAGATCATGAAAGAGTTTCCCTTCTTGGCTGTTTTGCTTCCCAGCCCAGAAGGCAAAATCTTTGATTACGTCAAGTATGCCGGAGATCTTAAAACTGGCATCCTTACCCACTGCATGCTAAGCGAGAGAGTCGCAAATCTCGAAGATCAATATTTCAGCAACAACGCCATGAAGGTCAATCTTAAGATGGGAGGATGGAATCAACTCCTGTCGCCGGCTAACGCACGCTTCCTTGGCACAGGAAAGAACACCATGATCGTTGGCTTGGATGTCACTCATCCGTCCAGCACAGACCCCGAAGTCTTCCCCAGTGTTGCTGCCATCGTTGCCTCCACTGATTATCGTATGGGACAATGGCCCGGTGAGGTTCGAGCCCAGACGCGCCGCCAAGAGCACGTTGAATTCCTCAAAGATATGATGCTTGCCCGGCTGGCCTTGTGGAAAAAGAACAACAATGGCAACTTGCCCCAGAATATTCTCGTGTACCGTGATGGTGTTAGTGACGGTCAATTCAACATGGTCCTTACAGAGGAGCTTCCAAAGATTCAAGCTGCTGCCAAAGCGGTATACCGTGAAGCCCTGCCCAACATCACCATCGTTGTCTGTGGAAAGCGCCACAATGTGCGCTTCTACCCTGCCAATTCGAGGGACCAGGATCGAACATCTAACCCACTCAACGGATGTGTTGTTGACCGTGGAGTCACCCGCCCTATCTACTGGGACTTCTATCTGCAAGCCCAGGCTCCTCTCCAGGGTACGGCTCGTCCAGCCCACTACATTGTCATTCACGATGAGATTTTCACCAACCCGAAGGCCAATCCGGACCGCAAGCCCGCTGATGTGCTGCAAGAACTTACCCACAACATCTGCTACCTGATGGGCCGGGCCACTCGCTCGATCAGTTACTGCACTCCTGCCTTCTTGGCCGATAGATTCTGTGACCGTGGCCGAAAGTACTTGTTGGCTTTCTACCATGAGAACAACCAGATGGTCGACAGCCAGGATAGATTCAGAGGTTCTACCTTGAATGTGGCCAGTGTATGCCAGAACAGCATGGTCTACATCTAATTTGACCATTGTCATTTTCTGCTTGTCAATATTGGACGATCTTTCTGGATTCTGGACTTTGATATTCGATACCCATTTGTTGTGCTTTATTGTTTTTTTTTTTTCCCACATTGTTCTTCATGTTTGCATTGACATGTTCTGAGCTGAAAGATTGCTCATGATGCGAAAGCTATAAAACCACAAAACGACCAAACAAAAGGGTGCAATGTCCTTGCTTTTCTTGCAAGCTTGAGATGTGCCTATGCTGCAACAAGTGTGAAAAGTTGAAAAACACAAAAAAAAGGGAGGTTTATTTGCGTTTGTGATGTCTTTGTTGACCTTTGAATGAGCTTGCGCTGCAGCATGGAAAAAATAAAAAAATAAAAAAAAGGGGATGTTTTATTTTAAAATATGAAAATTGAGAATATCAAAAAAAAACCACGTTCCATATAATTATGTAGTCACTACTAGTAGACATAGCCAACCTCAACCTCCCTTCAATGCTCCCGACTTAAAGACCCAACCTCACCCTCTTTCCTATCTCCATCCCCTCTATCTTGCACCCATCGCCGCCCCCTTTCTTTCTTTCTTTCTCCCCTCCAACGACCACTACGCATTGGCATTTAGCCCGACACACTGCCCCTTTCATTTTACCGGACATATCGCTCTATCCGACGCCCAGCTCGTTCTAGCCGGCGGCTGCTATACCAGTCGCCTAGGAGCAGAACCCCTGGGATGATCCAGCCCGTAGCCACATCGTTCAGTTTCGTGTCGATGCTCCGTCCTACTCTTTTTCAGGAGTGTGACAGTATACCGTGCTACGAAGCTATCTAGGTCGCCTTCTCTACTAGAGCGCCTTGCTCATTAAACGTCACTTATCCTACCGGCCTCTATCGCATCTTTAAAGTTCCAGTATACTATCTTTGATATATATGCCCCGCCCTATCTAAGGTTATATTTATATATCCCCTAGTATCGTAGAACGACTTATCCTTTGCCTTATCATATAATATGTGCCATAAGCCTCACCATGATGATATATACGTAGCATCATGAGGGAGCACAACAAACGAGCCTATCAATCCAGACAGGGACATATGTGTATGAATAGGTGGAAGCAAGGGCAGTATCTGTAGGGTTTGACCGCTACATCACGTAAGCTATAGTCGAGCAGTCATATTAACCTGATAGAGCCTAACTTGTTGCGTAATCACTATGTATGAAGGCTCTTCTTCCAAATATAAGCTGAAATCATTATCCCCAAGTGCCGTGTTAACCCACATTTAGAACAAGATAAAATAATAAAATGGCATAGCACCATCCAGAAATCCCACGAAAAAAAAAAAAAAGTGAAGAATGAAAAGAAAAGACAAGAAGATTTCAAACGAAATAGCCCTGTCTACGAAGCGGTATAGGCGCCAGCTGCCAAAACTATTTCCGGTAAATGTTGATGCCCTGATGCCTAGCTTTGGCCTAGTTATTGACCGCTCCTTACACCGCCCTATACAATGTACTGTAAATCATTCTACGACGGTGTACAACATAATGCCTGAATTAAGCCTTGTTTTAGACCGCCTTCAGGCCTGTAACCAACTCGGCATGGAATAACTAGGCGCCGTAACCCATAAAAATGAGGCTTTTGATCCCAATACAAACAGCGACATCTCCATGTTTTTAGATGGTTTGCAAGTGCCAAAAATGAAGTTTTTCATCTACATAAGAATGGCAGTATCTCCATATTTTTGGACGGTTCATAAGTGTCAAAAATGAAGTTTTTGATATGAGATATCTCCACTGACACTTGCAAACCACTAGAAGTCATAGAGATATCTGAATTTGTATGGGATGAAAAGCTTCATTTTTGAGAGTTGTCAGCGCCAGCAAAATCAGGCTACTTTGATTATTAAGGAAGTGTCATGGTAATTCAAGTATTTTAATTCTTCTGCCGGTATTAATTCAGGCCGCCAGGCCAAAGCAAGGCATCAAGGCATGAACATTTACCGGAAATAGGGTTTTGGCAGCTGGCGCCTATACCGCTTCGTAGTACGAAGACGTCACACGAAATGGCCCTGTTTAATATTGCAATGCTTTCCATTTACATCCTTCGCCTTAATTATTGATAATACTAGAGATCTCAATTCTCTTCGTTCTCAAAAGCTGGTCGTGTATTTGTATTTACAAAGACGAAGAAGGGATGACCCCCGGTCTAGCCGTCACTAGCTGCTCCCTGCTTAATAAAAAATTGAACAAGGGATCCGTATCCAGTGTCTCGAGAACCGCGGGGGTTAGGGTGATGACAACGTCAGCCCAAGAAGAGGGGTCGTTTATCCTCGCCGGCATGACAACACAAAACCCGTCGATAGGCCAAGTCTCATACCGCAGAGCATCGATCTTCCCGAGTGTTTTCCCGAAATTCAAGTCATAAATATTCCAGGCCCTGTGGTTGGTGAAGCTGACATCGGAAAACTTCAGGGAGAGATAGTCTTTCTGCCTGTCGAGGTAACTGCCTAGTTGCTGAACATACTCATTGTCGACGGTTTGAAGTTTCTGGCGGATGCGCAGCGCCAGAGTGGTTATCTGCAACAGATCAAACCGCGGATACTCGGGTCCAGGCAAGTTTGAAGGGGTGATTGGACTGACTTGTAACATGGTGATAAGGTTTCCAAAATATCCGTTTGCATCAATCTGCTCTTGCAGCATTGGACGCAGGTTCACCGCGAAGGAAAGCTCTCCTTGGCGCTGCACAGATAATGGTTGGGTTTGTCTTTTAGCCCGACTTCGTTGGATACAAATCGCAAGTATTGCGTTTAGGACGTCGGATGTTGAGATATAACTGGTGGGGGATGAGACCGACTCGGTGCACTCCGGTATCAGACTGTTGCATATGGACCTTATGCTAGCCAGCCTGTCTGACGCGAATGTATACATTTTCGTATTATGGGCTGCTATGGCGGATTCCATAAATGGGCTGTAGTGCCGATAGTTTGCTCCATATCGCGCGCTGTCATTCCAGTTTTGGCCTCTGTAATCAGAGAGCTCTTGTCTCACTTGGAGGTCATGGTCCACATTTAGTGGAAGGGGGCAAGGAATGGTTGTTCCAGCACTGGATGCACTGCAACAAGCGGCAAGGGAACGGAAAACAAGGTCAATTCCGACAATGTCAAAGACACGATGATTAAAAGATGTTCCTAGAACAACACCATCCGGGAGCCCAGTTCCTTGGAAACGCACAACTGGGCGGCCTGCGACTGAATCGAGAAGTGGCGGAAGGGGGCAAAAGGCCGTATGCCAAATTACAAGACCGAGCTGATCCATGACCCTGGCCATCGGCTCTCCATTGTACTTTACCTTATACATTGGGATTGCTGCTAGCGTCTCCTGGCACGGCTGGATCTGCTCCGTAAATTTTTGGCCGGTAGGACTTGGGGAAACGTCGCCAGCTAGAAAGGGAAGCCGGTTGACCAACTGGCCGACCCCCTCTTCAAACAAGGAAAGGCAATCCTTGACATCGACGCCATGGAATAGGAGGAAAAATGTGACGTAAACCTGGGGAGACCCTGAGTCGAACATTGTCAATGGATAGTTGGTGAAGGACTGCATGTTGCATGGATAGCGTATATCATGGACAGAGGGCACGGATACTGGACTGATAGGAGAAGAGGGGGGTTTTAATAGACAAAAAACAGCCCAGAGACAGAATTACCACTAGATATTTCACTCTTATGCTTCTTGCTCAGTGGAGGGGAAATCCGGCGGTACATCCCAACACACAATACATCGTTGGGAGAGCCCGGATCCCGTAGATCGGGGACAACAGACGTCGTGTAACACAAATTTAAGAGATAGAATTGCGAATATACCAATATAGCCGTGCCAAGCGCCCAACACCAGGTCCCCTGGTGTTGGTGCGCCCCAGCAGATACCCATTTTTCATCAGATACCCAATCTACAATTTTATGTATCTTTTGTATGACTTACCTATACAAAAGGTACTTAGACACCCGGTAAATATAGCATGTATTTTTCAGCACTCGAACCAGCGAGGGAAGATATAAGAAGATATATATAGTGTAAAGGAAGTCTATATTATTTAACCAAACTTTGATAAGGAATATTAAGTATACTAAAATCAAGAAAGTACCTAGTTATATCTACCGTATAGCCGTTATACAGTGTCATTTTAAAATTATTATTCTTCTTTTATATTAGATACTAAGAATTTCTACTACTATTGAACTAATTAACCTAGACTTTTAATATATATTCATCTACTTTCTATTACTTTAGCTAGTTCGAGTGCTGAGAAAATGCATATTATGTTTACGGGGTGTCTAAGTACCTTTTGTATAGGTAAGTCATACAAAAAATACATAAAATCGTAGATTAGGTATCTGGTGGAAAATGGGTATCTGCTGGGGCAACCGGAACGGTTGTTGGGCGCTTGGCACGGCTATACTATGTTATACATCAATAGGAGAGCACGGATCCCGTAGATCGGGGATAATAGACGCTGTGTAACACAAATTTAAGAGATAGAGTTGCGAATATAGTAACTACCTAAGTATGTTCTAATATATACTAACTATATTATATATCATTAGGAGAGCACGGATCCCGTAATCTAGGCCGTAGATCGGGGATAATAGACGTCGCGTAACACAAATTGAGGAGATAGAGTTGCGAATATAGTAACTATATACTAATATATACTATGTTATATATCATTAGGAGAGTATAGATCCCTTAGTCTAGGCAGTAGATCGGGGATAATAGACGCCGTGTAACACAAATTGAGGAGATACTATCTCGGATGAACAATCTCGATGTGAGTGAAATTGCGCGCCCCCGGAGTGTTAACACTGATTGTTCCGCCTCGTGGGTCTAAGACGTGGCACATATAATTGCGAATATGGTATATTCCAACACACAACACACTACATCGTTGGGAGAGCACGGATCCCGTAGATCGGGGACAATAGACGTCGTGTAACTCGTGTTGGTACGTCGTGTAACACAACACATTTTTGCAAGGACAAGAGACGGTTTATGGTAGGGTTAAAAGACCTGAAGTATAGTACAATTTTATTTCAACCTACCCTATACCCTTCTCGGTGCACATATTCGGTACTCAGCAACATTATAGTACTTTTCTCAAAAGCTTTTGAGCGACGATTTCATTCTCACCATACATCAAACGTTTCTTCGGGTAATATGATGTGCACATTTCTGGTCTTAGCGGGAGTAGTATCTCTCACTATATACGCCCTGTGGCTGGCTTTATCCGCCTGGAAGACCGCACGATATGCCCTGAGACTCGGATGCAAACCCGCCCCTATGCATCCCAGCACGGATCCATGGGGAATATCGGACCTACTTGAGATCTGGCAGGCGGACCGCAAGGGGTGTGTCCTCGGGGCCATATATCAGCGAGTAGAGAGGACCTCTGCCCAGGAGGGTCGCAGAGTCTCGACCTTCTCCATTCGCCAGATTGGCGAGAAGAATCTGTTCACCTGCGACCCCATCAATATAAAAACAGTCTTAGCAACCAAGTTCAAGGATTTTGATCTCGGAGGAGCGAAAATTAAGGGGATTCGCCCCCTCCTAGGGAACGGCATTGTGAGTCTTTTCCTCAACCGAGAATCACAAAAGGAGACTGAAAGAAAACACAGCTCGTTTCCGCCCACGCGGGCTGGACCTATGCGAGGAGGCTCTTGCGACCCCACTTCGAGCCGGAACACATCAGCCACCTTGATCGTGAGGAGCGTCATGTACAGAAAGCAATGCTAGGCCTTTCCATAGTCCAAGATCGCTGGACTGCCGTTGTGGACCTCCAGTCTATCTTTTTGACCTAACCTTGAACTCCACAGCCGAATTCCTTTTCGGAGAGAACATAAATAGCAGCCAGGGGACGACAGATCTAAATGGTGATTTTGCGGATAACTTCGACCTTGCACAGCGGTACTGCGTAGGGCGAACCGCCCTCGGGAAGCTGTACTGGCTCTTGGATGGACAAGAATTTAAGCACAGCTGTCATCATGTTCATGCCTTCATTGACCAGTTTGTTGAACCGGTGATGCAGACCCGGATGAAGCAGAGCAGCCAGGGACTGAACTCGTCGACATTCCCCACCACAATCCTCCATGCGTTAGCAGGCACGACACAGAGCCTGACAGATATTCGATTCCAGCTTCTCAATCTCCTTTTCGCCGGGCGAGACACAACAGCAACCTTGCTGAGTTGGACGATGCTCCAGCTGGCGCGGCATCCAGTTGTTCTCCAAAAGCTGCGTCAAGCAATTCTTGCCAGGTTTGGCCACTACAATAACCCGCAAAACATCACATTCGCGTCCCTTAAGGACTGCCAATATCTGCAGTGGTGTCTCAAAGAAGTCCTCAGACTTTATCCGCCCATTCCATTGGACCACCGCACTGCCATTCGGGACACCGTTCTTCCTAAAGGTGGGGGTAGCGACGGTGAGTCTCCGGTATTTGTGCAGAAAGGGCAGTCTGTGATGTATCACCCTCATGTGCTGCATCGTTGCCCGAATATCTGGGGGGATGATGCTGCACGGTTCGATCCGGATCGATGGTTGGATATCAGGCCTGGGTGGGGTTACCTCCCGTTCAACGGCGGGCCCAGAAGCTGCTTAGGGCAGCAGCGAGCCCTGACAGTGGCCTCCTATGTACTGGTGCGGCTACTTCAGCGGTTTGATCGCATCGAAGATGTACAGATGTCCTCGGAGACCCGTCACCGGGTGGCTTTAGTCACTCATCCAGCAGATGGGTTGATGGTGAGATTGCACGAGGCCAATGGTGAAATAGATTAGAAGAATGTTCATATCTGAAATTTGGTTTTTTTTTTTTTTAAAAAAAAAAAAAAATGAATTCTCTATTAATAAATACAGCGCCAATCACCCGAATGAAGCCACAATATAATTACCCAGGGGCATAGTGGCCAGGGTTACTTTCAGATTTAATGCATACTGTGATGCCTTAATGCCTTAATTTGGTATGGCAGAAAAATCAAGATACCTGAATTACAATTACAGCTTCCCGCGGCGGGTGCCTGAATATCTGCCTTAGACATTTATATACGAAGAGGCATGGCGCTCACGGGTCGCATGACGTCATTGATGCCTGAATTTCTGGTTTTAGCCTTAGGGATGCTCTTATTATCCATCAGAATTCTCGAAAATAGTTGGTTCTCAAAGTTCTAGGGTCTATTAGCATGTATTCAGGACTGGGGGACTGGTCGACATACCCTGATCACCGCCTTTGCCAATTCATCCTGGTCGTAAGGAGCCTCAACAAAGTCATACCGCTCTTGACACCGCTCTATACAGTGTACTGTAAATGATGCCGGCACGGATTAAGTACTATTCCTGATACCGAAGCTTTTCATGCCATACAAAATCATGTATCCTCACTTTATGGGGTGGTTTACATTGTATAATGGAGCAATGTAAACCACCCCATAAAGTGAGGAATCACCTATGCCTAAGAAAAGTGGAGAAGTGAAGAAAAAATTGACTCCCAATACTTCCATTCACGTTGAAGCCTAGAAAGCCCTATTGGGGCCACCATCTCTCTCCCCATTCTACTCCTCTTCCTCCTCCTCTGCCGCGATCGCTGCCAAAACCGCTTGGGCCTCCGCGCGCCGTCGATCCCGATCCCTCTTTCTGGCCTGCTTGTCAGCATCGGACAGAGATACGTCCTGAAGCTTTGGAGTGACCTTGGTTAGGTCGTCATCGGCAGTTGGCCTCACGTTCTTGCGCGGGGAGGGCGTTTCGCGCGCTACCGGGGCTTTCTGCTGGGGGGATGAAGATGGGCGGGGGGCGGCTGTGGGGGGCCGGGAAGCAGGGCCACTTTGTGGGCGCTGTGGAGGCTGTCTGGAGGCAGGACCAGATTGAGGGGGCCGTGGGGGCTGTGCGGGGGGCGGGGGGCAGCTTGAGCCGGGCGCGGAGGCTGCCTGGAGGCGGGCTGGGCGGGTCGCGGCGCTGGGTTGAGGGGGGCCGGCAGATTCGAAGGGCCTGTTGAGGGTTGACGGGCCTTCCCACCTCAGAACGTCGCGCTTGTCGACCGCATGCTGGAGAAGGCCGGCCAAGAATCTGGTGTTGCGCGACTTTGCAATCGCGACAAACCTCTCGTTCCAGATGCGCATGTTGACGACCACGATCATCAGCTTCTTGGCGCGCGTCATGGCCACGTTCAACCGCTGGTAACTGGACAAGAAGCCCAGTCCAGTGAGCTCCGCGGTGCGCGGTTTGGTGAACATGAAAATCACCACATTCGACTCTTGGCCTTGAGAGCCGTCCACCGTCACACAACGGCCGTATTCCACCCCCTCGTTGGCGAAGCGCTCAACGACTCGTTTCACCTGCTCCTTGTAGGGGCAGATCAACATCACGTCGGCGGGAGTGATGCGGCCGGCCGGGCATGTCTTCGCATACAATGCCTTGAGAAATGTCATCACGACATTGATATGGGCATCGTTGCGCCACGACATGGATCCTTCTGGATGTTCCGCCACCCCTTCGGCATCAATGAAAAGACGCCGCTTCCCAACAAGCCCCCTGACCTGGAAATGGTGGAGGGAACGGGTGAATGCTTCCCATACATTCCCCACACGTTCGGCCTTGGCGTTCTCACCACTAGCAGTGATCGAGCTCTTGTAGATCGCCTTCGCGGGCCAATCGAGAATATCAGGGTGGCATCGGTAGTTGATGTTTAGCAACGTGAGGGGGTAGCAGCTCACCAATCTAGACATCAGAGATCGGGCGTAAAATTTGCCGCCCTCGTTCTCATCCGATGAGACCACCGTCGGGGGAGCTGATCAGGATCACCGATTAAGGTGATCGACCGTAAGGAGAGATAGCCTGTCAACGCGATCATGGTATCGCTCTCTAAAGATTGACCGGCCTCGTCACACAGCATGGCGTATGGGTGGAAAACGCCTTGCAGATGAAGGTCCCCCGACGCGTTTAGCGTGACGGCGACAACCTTGATCCTTTTCAGAACCCTGCAGAGCACATGCTCGTAGTTGCGCTGAAGATGGAGGGCCTCCTGTTTGGTCAATCCTTGCGCTCGATCCTTGTCCAAAGCATCCAGAAATTCTTGGGCTTGCCGATGCTGTTCGCGGTGATCTTTGGCTTCCTGGACTACCAAAGATTCGATCTGGCAAGGTTCGAGAGCCTTTTCAGACGAGGACGGCTGAATAGTTCTCGCCTCGGTTGGTCGGCCCTGGCTTGCCCGGCGCAGAGATGCCATCTGATAGTACGGGGTCCGGAACCGGCAGTACCCCCCACACCATTTCCGAAGCCTTTCATCTCTGTGAAGGGTGCCTTGGTAGGCGATTAACAGGGTGTCGACGGCTTGATTTGAGCCCGCACAGATAAGGACCGGAAGGTTGAGGCTGGCCAGCATCAAGAGGATGACCACGGTGGTTCGGGTCTTGCCGTTGCCAGGTGGGCTTTTGACCAAGTGAATCCCAGCGAAGACATCGAACACCGACCTCTGCACGGCCGTGGTTTGCGACTCATCCAATGGGAACTTGTGCCAAATATAGTCGACCCGCCTTTGTTTCTCCTCATCAGGCACGGTCGAAATCTTCTGGGCATTTAACCAGAAGGCCAAAGGGCTGTCTGGGGCCAACTCGGTTCCGTGTGCTAAAATGGTCCGTCGGAGTGAGTAGCCCTTTTCGTCCTGGTGCTTAGGATCGTCACCGAAGGCTACCACCCTTGAGGCCATGTCGAGGGCGTCGATCTGCAGTTGGGTCGACTTCAGGTTGAGCTTCAGGGTGGCCATCAGCTTTCGAGTCTGCCCGTCCAACTCGGCTTCGAAGGGCGCACGAGTGAGGATGGCAAAATCTGCATGGGTTGAGTGGATGCAGATTCCATCACCCTTGTATACCCCCGGGTATTTGGGATTACCCAGATCTGCCAAATCGACTTCATAACTCGCGCGAGTGCCGTCAGGGGGCGCTGGCTTGGGTTCAGCGTTCATCCAGATATGGAGTTTCCAATACGCCTCGTTCGGCCCAGACTGCTCGAAGATAACCTCGTGCTTCTTGCCCTTGCAAAAGACGTGATTGTAGGTGGACCATATGAAGTGCTTCTCCACAAATGCGGCCTCCAGCAGTCGCGAACGGCGATCCATATCGTCCAAAAAGAAGTCCACCGCTGTCTCCCAGATATGGTATTCCGGGTTTTCCTCTTGATCGAAAAGCCATGGCATCTTCGGGCGCCGTGGTGCCTGTTCTGCATCTGGCAAAGGATTGCGCTGGGAATACCAAGTCCAAGGCGTTTCTCCCTCGGCGGGAAGTGCTTGTCGAACAAGCTTCACCAACTCATTCACGTGGCGCTGGATTTGTCGGAATAACCCAACGTAGTCATTTGGGAACTCAATCCAGACTTTGACACTCGCGTGAGACCAATCAATCGCCTGGACTTTGCGAAGTATGGCGAGTTGGTTGTCGTCCAGCAGCCAAGACGGACCAGCGAACACAGGGCCAATTGATGGGTCCACCTCAAAGAAGCAGGTTTGATAACTGTGCCGTCTTGTGGGTAGGGACTTCTCGTGTTCTTCGATGAAGGTATCCTGCTGAGTCGAGGCGCCCTTCAGAACCAATCTCATGTCTGCCCGCGTGGCAGGGATGGCGATGTGCATGGGGCCAATTTGGACGTCGAGCCATGGAGACTGTGAATCCGGACGGATTCTCAGCCTCGCAGTGATGTAATCATGGCCGTTTCCAACACTGATACTGCATTGTCGTGGTCTTTTCAATTGATCATGCAGGGCCTTCGGCCAGTCTCCCCCAAATGGGTGGCGGAACAAATCTGGGATGTGGGCGCGGGAGGCCATTTCTAAATCATTTGTCAGTAATCCAAGCCCACGAGACCAGACTTCGGACAACTGTACCAAATAAACCGAACCTCAAAGAGGAACGTTCAAAGGGAACGAAGAGAAAAGATCGAACCTCAAGGAGGAACGGATCTAACAGGAGGGCGAAAAAAAAGGGAAAACTGAACCTCAGAGAGGAACAGATCCGATAGGAGGGCAAAAAAACACAGCAAGCTGAAACTCGGAGAGGAACAGATCTGATGAGATGTGAGGGTGGAAGAGAGATGGAGAAAGGAAGAAGAAAAGAGGGTGGGAAGGAAATAAATAGGAAGGATGTAAACAAGGCAGGTGCTGGGATACATATGAGGCAGGTACTCTTCACAGATCCAGATTATAAGGAACGAAGTATCAATCTTTCATTTCTGAATTGAATCTGAAGTGAATCTGAAGTGAATCTGAAGTGAATATGAAGTGAATCTGAAGTGAATCTGAACTGAATCTGAACTAAATCTGAACTGAATCTATAAGGTGTATAGTATAGAAATAAAAGTGAAGCTAAAACTAGTAAATGCTTGAAGAAGGCGGTAATGAACTAGACGGGTGGTTTATCTCCAACCTCTACGCCTTCAACTATCTCCTCAAAGGTCAAGGCCAGAAGCAGACGTGGCTGACAGCCGCTGACCCAGAGAAGCTTGTCCAGAAATATGGGCCATATCTACATGGCAATCCTTACGAGGAGCGCAAAACTTGCCTTGATCGTGACATGCTGGATCAAGATCAACTGACCCCTGTGACTGTCGTTCGGTCGAATGAAATGATTGACCGTTTCCTTCAAGAGGCAAAGCTAGCCTCCGAGTTGGCTAAACGAACCGAGGCCCCACTCCTCCTCCTTGTGTTCTGTCACGGACTCTCCAATTACCACCTCTGTTTGGACGATGGCAATCACTCAAAGGGACTGAGTATTCTAGCACTGAAAGCCGTCCTTGAACCCGGTGCCCACATTACCCTGGTTACCACCGCTTGTTACTCGGGAGGATGGGCTACGACTCCGGAATTGAACACTACTAGCATGACAGCAGCTGGTGGGCTCCATACCAATTCCGACAAAGAACTTCGCGAAGGACTTCCTAATGCGTGGGATGCTTCACTGAGTATCGGTCGGACTTGTGGGTCAGTTTTTGCGAGCACCCTGTTCCAGACCCTTTCGAGTGCTACGAGTCCTCTTTTGGATGCTCGAGAATCTAGCAATGCGAGTGACCAGCCGAGTTTGCAACCAGAGGAGCCGAATGATCAGCAAACCCTAAGCTATAACGCATTCTGCCAATCTGTCCTGGATACATGCCAAAACAGCGTGACACGGCTGGGCGACAGGCAGTGTTTCACATTCAGTGCCCAGAATGATGCATGGGACTACTCATGGACGGGCCAAACCGGCATTCCGCTGGCCTACTTTGAGCGTCGGTGGAAACAAATGAAGCCCTATCCGTATACTGGGCCGGAAGGTATACGCGCACTTCGAAATCAAGATCCTAGAAATGCCACATACACGGTCAGCGACCCAAACAAAGTCGGTGGAGTCCGCATGACTAGGGACGGCGAGTTTATCGAGAACATGACCGCTCTCATTGCGCAGTACAGAATCAAGGATATGGCGAGGATGTTCCATGCCACTTGTCCAGGGGATTGGACTCGAGGCCGAGAGGTGGCTTGGAGAGGTACTCTTTACGGATTCTACCAGTTGGGCATATTCCCCGAGTCTGAGGCCATGATCTACTCCACGATTCGTTTCAGGTGGGAGGCGGCACTCCTCGCCGATTTTCTTGTTGCGATGTATGAGCTTCCGATGCCCAGAAACGAGATATGCATCATGTGGGATTGGCAGTCCTGGGATGTTGAATTCCGGGTGAAGACCTCGATGTCAAAGTCCGAGTTCAACCAACGATGGATGGCAGTAGCCTTGCCATTCAACTGTTTCGATTTCTCCCGCCTACCTGATCAGGGCCCGCGCTTCATGCGCCCTTTTACGTATTTGGTAGCAGCGTTGCTAGAGGCTAATTAGCCCGAGCATGAGACCAATAGTATCATCAATGCAATCTAAGAGTTTATGCAAAATGCCCAGGCCTTCCACAGGCAGCGCGTTTTTGCTAGCCCAGAGGTCCAACGTAAAGGGCGTGAATGGTTGAGGTCGGTTGGTCGCCGAGTCCGCAAATCGCTTTCTCCCCGGAAAAGGTCCAGCACCACAGAATCTGCCTCGTGTACGGTCGACTGAGTATGCCGCCGGCACATAACTCTGTCATTGGCTATTACCTCAACGCCTTTTCATCATATACGCTAATTTTAATTTGTATACAACAGTCCTCTACAATATAATTCAGTTCAGATTCAGTTCAGATTCAGTTCAGATTCACTGCACATTCACTGCACATTCACTTCAGATTCACTTCAGATTTAATTTACTTTAAATACTTGATTCTAGTATACTAGGATAATCTGATAAGCTACACGCCGGAGGAAAGATCCACTTGTATAAGATAGAGATTGCCAACCGTAAGAACCAGCAGAGTAGAACATCTACCGAAGTAGCTTCAATGCCTCTAACTTCAAAAGAGACGTTTGTTCATATTATGACGTCCCTAAGGATGAATTTGAGGGACACTGCCACCTGACTAGACCCTCTGGGGCCAAGGACATCAAAGCAGCCCACCTTGTGCCAAAGAGCCTTCAAGGAGATGAGATTGCTCACCTATTTGGGGTGGGGGCCATGGTATCTTCTGATCCGAGGAATGGTGAGTTTGTGCCTCCCACGATAATACTTCTAGCACTAACCTGCTATCCAGCCCTGTTACTTCACTTCAAGGTCGAAGAAGCCCTTGATAGCGGCAAGATAGTCATCGTGCCTATCCTCGAAGACGAGGATGTCACGACACCTTCGCGTTGAAAGTGTGTGTTAATCGATGAAGCAATGCGACACATGACGGTGATGAGCTTTCGTGAAGCTGGACCTTCGTCTTTGGGCATAGTGTACTATTTTCTTGTTTGCTCCAATGAGAACGCCTTTTATTTTACTGCCCTTATTATAGTAATATAGCCTTGTCAGATCGCATTCATCTTAAAAAGGAAAAAGCATAAATTTAAGGTCCGGTTGGCTAAAAACACTACAGCTAGGGAAGAAGAAAAAGAAGCAGCAGGGCACGACAGATCTAAATGGTGATTTTGCGGATAACTTTGACCTTGCACAGTGATACTGCGCAGGGCAAGCCACAATAGCTTACAGTAAGCTCCGGGATATTTTCCTGGCTTTTGTTTCGGGCTATAAAGGGTACCTAGGTACCTAGATATGTCCTAGTTAGTCCTGTCTATGCTTATTTATAGATAAAGCTGGGTCGAAGCTGGGTCGAGACCTTTGACCCAAACTGTCAAATTGACGCTACCAAATACTTTATAGTATCGAGCTATATCGTACTAAAATTAAATACTATAGTAAGTAGATAGCTCTTATTATTCTCTTTATCATAATTAATAATAAGAAAGTATTTAATAAGTAGATAGTTAAGTATCTCTTTTTATATTTATAGTTCATTTACGGGATTCGTCGGAGGCGATCACAGGAACATGTAAAGCGGCGCGAGGGCAAAGTTGTCAATCTGGTGGACTTTGATGCCAAGGACGCCTGTAGCGGTGGGGCGATGTGACGGGGGTCCACATTCTGTGGACCCGATGGCTGGAATGGCACGAAAGGGTCCACGGGTCCGGAATGAAGGGAAAGCCGATTGGGTATTCTCCGCACAGGCCCATGCCAAGAGACCAGGCCGCGCTAATTCAATCATCCATCACCACTCGATGCCTGACTCCTTCTGGTTCATGAAACGTGCCCAGGTGGTCATGTGTGATTTCTGCCAGCGACAATGATTTTCTTCGATTGGCCACGTCGACATCATGAAACGCGAAGCACTGTCTGATTTACGTGGCTGCAGTGATGGTGATGAGCGACCAGCAAAAGCGCCTCGGCGAGAAAGCCTGAGCTCAAAACTAGAGCTCTTAAAGAGAGATCGCGATCACCATCACGATCACACCAACGCACAGCAACCGATCTCTCCATTTTCGCCTGACTGTGATATCAAGGTAAGCTGCGATCCCCGTCTTGCGATAGCCATCTCACTCACTGCCTAGCATCCTGATCCCCTCGAACACCGAACAACCACTCTAACGTCCGTCACAAATGCAACCGGCGAGCGTACGGACGGTATATACCAGTGGATCCCTGCACCATCGGAGATTGACGCGTTTGAGGTGATGAGCCAACCCGCGTCGAAACGATCCCGATCGCGTTCGATCTCAACGGATCGGGGGCGTACTCTGTCGGTCTCGTCGGACAATAGCGAGAGCAGCTCGGCTCGGGACACCAAGTCATATGCATACCGGGCCGTGAATTATGTCACCATTCTGGAGACCAAAGGATGCTTCATGCGACAGTCCTCTGCCGGCCCGATGCCCGAGGATATTGCGCTCTGCGAGCGTCTTCTCAGTCAGCCAATCCAACCTCCTAACGGCACACTGCTTGAAGACGAGTATGTCACAGGTTTTCATGATGCGTTGCAGAATCGATCCGAAGCGCGTCTCTTGGTGGATCTACATCCTCTCATTATGCCCTCCGCAGAGAATCAATACATTCAGGGGAACCAATCTTTGAAGGATGTGATTGATGGGTACAATGACCCTTGGCTAAAGACCGAGCCGATCTATGGTCCAAAACCGCAGCCTGATCACGCGCGAGGCTTGAAATGGTCAACCTTTTCCGAGAGTCAGCGGCGCAAACTCGGGATCAAGCCTGACGAGAAATCACCCTACACGGTACGAGAGGACATGTACTTTCCATACTTGACCGCAGAAATCAAATGTGGGAACCAGGCGCTGGATTTTGCCGACCGGCAGAACATGCATAGCATGTGCATTGCTCTGCGGGCTGTGGTTTCTCTATGTCAAGCGGTAGGCTGCACAGAAGAGGTGCACCGGCGGATTTTGGGCTTTTCGATATCGCATGACCTCGGAGGCCTTCGAATATATGGCTACTATCCCGAGATTGACGATGGCAAGGTGTCATTCTACCGCTGGCCTGTTGCGCAACCCAACATCTGGGCCAAAGAGACTCGGTGGACATGTTATCAATTTGTGGAGAATTTGGACCGTGAATTTCTGCCTATTCATACCCACCGATTGATGCGGATACTGGAAGAAGTCCCGGACCCAGACGAAGATGGTTTCGGTGTCGACGTCGACGAACCTGACTCTCTGGTGTCCATGGTCGGATCGCAGGAACGCCCGGGGTATCGCAGAGCAGCATCGTCGCAGAGTCGAGGCCTTCAACCAGAGCTACGTATGATGATACAAACATTACAACAACAATTGACAGAACAGAAGGAACGAGAAGAGAAGCGAGAGGCGGAACAGAAGGAAAGAGAAGAGAAACTTCTCGCTCAACTAGAACAGCAAAAGCTACGTGAAGAGAAGCGAGAGGTGGAACAGAAGGAACTGCAAGGCAAGCTTCTTACTATTTTAGGACAGAAAGATAAGTCGAAATGATTATTTGTTCTTGCATAATACTGCAAAAATGTCAATCATTCCTGTGCAAGGATGTGTTTTTTTTTCTGGGGTATACGTTATCAGTTATTCTTAGATGAGTGCCTTGTGGTAAGTGGCTGTCAGTAGTTTAGTAGATGATACCAATCTCATTGGGTCCCGCTAATAGCTAGATCATTAGTCATCGATTAGATCCCGAGGTCCCGAGGTCAGCAATGGACCCCTCCAGGGCTCCAGTTGTCAAGTGACGCCTTACTTCACACCAAAAAATGAGGCGTAGCTATGAGGTATGACGTATGACACTAATAGCTCACACATTCATTCTAACCTAAGGTACAGAACGCCTTAAGGCTCCTCGAAACACGCAGGCGGAAGGCCCGACCCAAGACCCCAGCGGCGCCCGCCACAGCCCAAAATTCCGCAACTCCTAGCGGTACCCCAACTGTGAATGGCGTACCTAGCTTGGTCGGAATGAAGGATTGGTTGCAGGCTTTAGGACACTCCGTACGCATACTCAATATTCCGTCTGCCTTACAGCACTGCGCTGGTTCTTACCAGGTTTAGGAAAATGACGTCGACAATCTGAATATAATCCATGTCGCTGGCACAAAAGGAAAGGGCAGTACTTGCGCTTTTACTAGGTCCTTTCTTCGTACGCATGGATTGAGGACAGGATTCCCGAAGCGGGTTGGAATGTACACCTCGCCTGATTTACAATGCATCCGAGAAAGAATCCAGATTGATGATCAGCCAATCCCGGAAAATCTTTTCACGCAGTATTTCTTTGAAGTGTGGGAGACTCTTACGTCCCCGGACACAGGAACAACTACAGCAATCCCAAAACAACCTCGTTATCTACAGTTACTGGCTTTACTAGCGTTTCACACCTTCATCAGAGAAAACGTTGACGCGGCAATATTCGAGACACACCATGGTGGAGAATATGACGCCACCAACGTGATTCGGAAGCCTATTGTGACTGGGATCACGTCTCTGGGGATGGACCATGTTGCACAGCTGGGACCTACGGTCGAGGATGTTGCCTGGCATAAAGCAGGTATATTCAAACCCGGGGCGCCTGCATTCTCTGCTGTTCAGGAGTCTGGTCCCGATGCAGTTCTACGGAAACGTGCGACTGAAAGAAACACCGACTTGACATTTGTCTCGCCCTCTGCCACCCTTCCTGATAATAGAAGGGTCTTGAGTGCTCCGGTGCAACGGCTGAATTGCTCTTTGGCTCTGCAGTTGACTGAAACGTTTCTACGGCTTAAGGATTCCGAGCATACGCTGGACGCCGATGACATCTCTAATGGTGTCAACAACTTCTCCTGGATGGGGAGGTTTGAGATAATAAACAAAGATTGCTCACAATGGTTCTTGGACGGTGCACATAACACGCTGAGCCTAGAGCAAGCGGCGGAATGGTTCTCAAAGAATGTTAATGTTACAGATGCACCAAAGTAAGTATTACGTGTCATGTCCAATCTAATTCCTTATTAACGTGCGATCTAGACATCGTGTTCTTATCTTTAGCCATTTTTCTGAAGAGCGTGACGGTGTCACTCTATTGGAATGTCTAGCGCATGCGCTCTCTGAGCACAATGCAAAACCCGATCATGTCATCTTCACTACATACGATGAGAGAGAGGATGGTGCAACAAGAATAGGTGAGCAATACAAAACAGCTGCAGTGAGTAGACACTAACCTATAATCAGACAAAACATTGAAGGTGCCAGAGACGCCTTTCCCAGATCTTTGCGCAATATATTCTTCTCTTTGGACAGAAATTCATCCCTCTACCGCAGTCTCAACCGAGCCGACTATCCAGGGTGCCATAAGGCTTGCGGAACGGATAAGTTCGCAACAAGGTGGCATGCAAGCTCTTGTTACCGGGAGCTTACATCTTGTTGGAGGAGCACTTAACCTGTTACGGCCTTGAATCGACAGTCCATTTCACTTCGACGTTCGGATCATCGTAGCCACTATGTTTACCACAACTCTTTCATATCTCACAGTCGCGATTATCACTTTATTGAGGAGTTTCATGTCGAAACACTATTCGTATTCCTAACGACGTGGTTGGGACAGGAGAAATATCGAAAAGCGAAAAAAAAACCATGCTGCTTTTCAAATCTTAGAGCTCTCCGGCGATGATTGATTTTGATAACCGAAGATCGCTGTGAACTCTACAACCCAGCTATTCATGGCCAACTTATTCCTCTGCTCTAGTGGGAAGTAGACGATTTCGATATATATCTATCAAGAGTAGGTCGGTCTCTTCAGAAACCTCGCTGTTACACATCTATATCAATCTCAAGATGGTCCGCTCTCGAAGAAACATAGTAACACTTAACGCATGCAAATTTTAATTATAACAGCCTCTACCCCCGCAAGTTCTTAATAGTGATTTTATCTAAAGCATCTATCGGAATGAAACAATTGCTGAGTATGTCCTTTGTGAGGCGTTATTTTGAAGTATAAAGAAAGCTCTGCAGGCTGAATGTATCCATCAGTCAACATTTTAGATAGTTGGCATAGTAGAGAGCGTAGTATACTATAGAAGATATTGATGAATGGTAAAATTGAGTGAAAATCGCTAGATGCCGAAGAAACATAGTATACAAGTGCTAATTGCCAATCTATATGGCTCTGATTATTTCGAAACCTCAGGACATCTTGGTCACTGCTATGACCTATCTATCAGGTTGAACACAGTGCACAATAACCTTATCTCCTAGAACAAGGAGCGCGGGTGGAGTTCAGAGCAGAGACTCTTTGGCATGACATAGCCTCGATGCCATCTATGACCCGGGTTCATTACAAGATTTCTGCTGATGAATTCCCCAATGGTGTAGGGCGACAGCCTTCTCTACCTTCCAGCACGTATCTCTGAAAGTCGAGTTTGTATGGCATAGCGAAGAAATGACCAAGATAACCCGATATCATCTTTCATCGCTTGGAACTAGGAGACCACGCCTCAGGTTGCCACTCCTCGCCTGGATTGGCCTTTTTCGCCTTGGTCCATGGGTTCTCCACCTTTTGTGTCTTCGGTGCTGCGGGGGCTGTTTCGGGGGATGTAGTTGAAACCGGTGTTTGTTGTGTGGGAGCAGCGTTTGCAGGGGTATTTAAAGTCGCCTCATTTATTTGGGTCGTTGGTGGTGATTGTTGAGTCTTGGGCTTATCGAGGAAGGAGGCCTTGCTGGCCCAGCGTTCATCGGCGAGTCGAGCGAGTTGTTTGATTTGCGCCTGGCGGACAAGATCCTGCTGCTGCTCCTGAATGCTCGGGGGTGTTCCCGGACATGTCGCAGCCATTGGTGCCATTGCGCTGTGTTGAAATAATATGTTAGTTCTAATTCAACGGTTGTCCCGGAATATGGTCCAAGCCCGAGCCAGCATATTCCTTGCGACCTGCAACGGAACTCACGTGTTACCTGAACATCACTGAGATGTGTTTTGGGATCAAATCGAACAATGCGTCGGAAGCGAGCTGCGTTCAACACATCTTTGAACTCCCAGAAGGTATTGCCGGCGAGATCCTCACCTAAGACACGGTTAGCGGTACTGAGACACCACACAACAAACAAGCAAGCGGATACTAACCGACCAAGAAGGACTTGCGCCAGGGCAGGCGAAGCTTCTTCCATTTGAACCATAAGCTGTTAACCATTGTTTTGTGTGTAGAATAGGAAGAGTCGCAAGAGTGGCAAAAAAAGAAGATCGAGACGGGACCATTATCGCAATGCATAGAATGGGGATTCACCGCTTCTGTTCCTTCGGAGTAGATGTATAGTTACGTTGTTATTGATAGTCAAGTAACTAGTTATAGAGTATGTTATAGAGTACGTTATAGAATTGTTTTATAAGTATATCATTAATGCTATAATCACCATTCGACGACGTCTTCTTAATATCTTTTATTTACATGTCTTTTGAGATATCCTTTTCCCCTTTTAATATACCTTAGAATACTTACTTAAATCTCTTTTATATGGCCTTTTTTCCTATAATATTTCTTTGTAGGATAGTAAAAATCAACTCCTATAATAACATTTCCTACTACAAAGTCCCCGGTGGTGGCTATTCGATGCGATAGAACCCATCAGGAACGTCATCGGGGATAAACACAGCCCGGACATTCCACTCCCCTTCTTCTCCATCTCCTAGTTAACCTTTTTTCTCCCTTTCATTCAAAAGAACGGAAGAACGTCCACGACTTTACTAGAGAACCTCTGCACTTCTAGTAATCAAATCATTTTCTTCATCCCGTCATTTCTAATTGTATAACGAAACGCCCTCTTTCTGCTACCCAATCCCCGCCACCTTTAAGGCCGGTCAGGCACCCGCAAAGGGATACATACCACCCAGGTGGCAACAACAGTCCAACTACACTTCAACACACTTGACTCTTGATCATCGATCATTCCACACATCATGGCTTCAGTGACTTCGTTGGACAAGGATTTGCGCAATATGCGCCTATCCCGCTATACCCCGCAGGCAGCCGTGGAGGTGCGCGACTGGATTGAGGAAGTGCTACATGAGAAACTGGCAACGTCAGACTTGCTCGAAGGCCTGAAGGATGGTGTTGCTCTTTGCAAGTAAGTGCATATGAGTATTGTTTTGCTAAAGTACCATTAATGAGTATATATCTATGGATCACTGGCTAACTCCTCGAATTACAAGGCTAGTAAACCTCGTTGTATCACCGGGCGTGAAATTTAAGCAGTTGTCCGCGCCATTCGTACAGATGGAGAATATTTCACATTTCTTACGCGCATGCCAATTACCACCGCTCAACCTTCCCCCGCACGATGTCTTCCTGACAGTTGATCTCTACGAAGCAAAGGATCCGGCGCAGGTTCTCCAGTGTTTGGCAGCGTTCAGTCGGCGGGCCAATGCCCTTGCGCCTAACAAGTTCCCCCGAACCGTCGGCCCACAGAGTAAGCGCGGTGTGCTTAGCCCGAACGCGACGGGTTCCTCGAGCACCGGAGCATATACACCACGGTCAGCCCGCTCCTCCAGCAACGTCGGGGATGCGAAGCCTTCTGGGTCATACAGTACCTGGGCCAAGAAGGGAGATGAGCAGGATACCACGCCGGCGTGGAACATTCACCAATATGGCTACATTGGGGGGAGCTAGCCAAGGGAATCAAGGGGTTGCATTTGGTGCTCGCCGACAGATCACCACTCCCGGGCCCGCTGTACCAAGCCTTGCAGAGAAAGAAAAGCGCAGGCGTGAAGAGGATGAACGGATTCGCCAGCAGAACGCAGAGAGGGAAGAGGCAGAGCGAGCGTACCAACGGCAGGTTGCAGAAGAGGAGGCTCATGCGAAGGCAGAAGAGGAGCGCCGATGGGAAGAAGTGACTGCTCGTGCAAGAGAACAAGAACGTCTTAAGGTAGAAGCAGAAAAGAAGCGTTGGGACGATGAAAAGCGCCAATGGGAAGCGGAAGAGCAGCGACGTATAGCGGAAGAAAAGGAAGCCGAGGAGCGATTTGAGCAGGAGCGACAACAGAGACGAACCTTGAATGATAATCGTCTCAATGGTCAGTTCCTGAGTCAGTACCAGGCATCCAACTCCCAGGCTAGTGATGTCGCCGGCGCGGTCGAGGAAACAGCGCAAAGCCGCCGCATCAAAGAGCTTGAGCGCGAGCTACAGCTAGCAAAGGACCGGGAGCGTCAGTACGAGACCGAACGCCAAGTCCAGCCTGGAAAGACCGGCGATAAGCCTCAGCCTCGCAGTCAAAGTCGCCCTCGTCCCGTGCCCCCAAACCTAGCTATGATCTTTCTTCTCTCGAACAAGAACGGCGACTCCTCCGTACGGAGTGGCAGAATACGCAGGATATGCCCGCCACTTCCGAGGCAGAGGAACCCGAACCCGTTGAAGAGCGGGCACCACCCCAACCCCCTCGTCCGCTCCCAGTGCCAAAGCCATCATCTTTCTCAGCCTCGCCGGCACTCCCTCCTAGGGATCTACCTGCCTCGCCCCGGCCCCTTCCAGACCCAGTGGCCTACAACGCCAACCGGGGCCACGAAAGCCGCGTGGATAGTTTCCTTTCTTCGAACCCAGCCCCCGCATCTCCAGCCCCAGCCGCCCACCGATTCCAAGACTACACGTCGACCTCCGAAGTCGACGCCGAGAACAGCCGCCGCGCAGCTTCACAGCAGAAGACCAAAGCCGGCGGCTGGGCATCCAAGTCTCTCTTGGAACGAGAGATGGAGCGTGAACGCGCGCGCCAGGAGGAGTGGGCGGAGAACCAGAAGAAAACGGCAGCTGCGGCCGAACGTGGCAACCAAGACGGCTCTCAGGGCTCAGGTCCAGGCCAGTCTTGGGATGTCCATCAGTATGGCTATATGGGTGGTGACAATCAGAACCGTGGCGGTGTTGGCCTTGGTGTCGGCGGTGCTAGGCGCCAGATTATTGGGCCCCGGCCGCCCCGGTAAACTATTGACTTACCCCCTTCTATTTTCTTATCGTCATTTCTATTTCTCTTAAGTCTCTATTTTCCCTTGTTTATGTGGGCGGATATCATCATAGACATATTTCTGCGTTGGTGGATTATTTTGTTATTCGCGTGCTATGATTCCCGCTCCAGACCGTTGCTTGTTTTGTTTTCGACGCCATGTGGTTGTAGATAGCATTTATACTCAAGATCTTATAATAAAAACATTAAACACATTCTAGAAAACACCGAGTCAAAGGTTATACATAGAAAACTCCTCTGCACAGTTGAAGCTTTTTACTGCCTTCGTATACGAGAAGGCGTCAACAAAGACATCCAGAAAATATATTGCAAAACGCCTCCGTGGCATAGTCCTTTCACAATAAGTGAAAAGAATTGGCATTAATAAATAGCACAGGTACTCCATAGTCTCTGAATATGTATCACAACCAGTATATTCGAACCGAAGAAAGACAAAGGGTCATTTAAACGCTCCATACAAATGCCCCATAAACACCCATAGACGCCTCAGAACCCAATCATCAAGTCTCATTTTCATCATGAACGTCATTACCACAACAGCAGTCTTTCCCGATCCCACAAAAAGGCTTCACGGCAAGATATGCTCGACCATAAACTTCATCCTAAACCCACTTTCCCGCAAGTAGGCCCATTCAACCGAGTCCTGGTCACGACTAGCCTTCTCACGACGCGCAATCCCGGACCGGACAGCTTCCGCCAGCGACGGGGTCACAGAGAGCATCTTGCTCTTATGCAGGAGTACCATCAACGCCTCGAGCAGAAGGGAGACCTTGGCGTTGTTCTCGATGGTCGGGGTAGCCGCCGCGTAGGGGAGGAAGCATTTCTCCAGCTTCGCTTGGGTGAGGTAGTTATCATCGGAGCTGGGGGCGGAGCTCTCGCGGAGGACGAACAGGAGGAGTTCGCAGAGTGTGGAGTCTGCTTCGGGTAGGAGATGCGGGAGGTTGGAGGGGCTGATGAAGTGTTGGAAGATCGGGAGGGAGAGGTCGCGGATGTTCTCCACGAACAGGTCGTAGAGGTGGTCTAGGGGCATGAAATGCCGCGGTAGTTTCTCTGAGACGTTGGAGAGGATGCTGAGGAGTTGTTGGCGGAGGGCGAGGGAGATGTAGCCGCCTAGCGGGGATAGATTGCTTTCGTGGGAGGGTGTTTGGCTTGCTTTGGACATCTTGATGGGGTCTGTGGCTTTGTCCATTGCGTTTCGCGTTCCTCGTCGGGTGCGCTTGTTGCGTCGGGGATTGCCACCATTTGATCCCCTGCTTGGAGGTGATGTCGAGGTTGAGCTTTGGTCAGGTTCGAAATCCTCGCCTGAATTGTTCAGGTAATCTCCATAGTCATCCTTGTCGATGTCGATGCCACCTGCTCTCTTCTTGGAATTCTGCGGGTCTTGTTCGGGAACAGGGATTTTCAGCTCATCGGTGAATACCTCTTTGAACTCGCCGAGATTTGATTTGCCATTAGCGAAGATTGCCCGCATAATTCTGCGGTCCCGTCCAGCTGTGGTGTTCGATGCGATGTAGCGGAAGATAAGGCTTTCTCGAAAGATTCCAAGGTCATCATGCACCTCCACTACCTTCGCCTTCCGTCTTCTGCCTCTGCGGGTTTCTTTCTCGGCCGGGTCAGCGTCCTGCGAGCCCTCCCTCTCCGATCTTCCCGAGCACTCAGATCTCTCCGACAAAACCGAGGTAAGTCTTTGGTTTTGTTTTGCCTCTTGGTACCTTTTTTCACGCTCTTTCCAATCGTCTTCAAGTACGTTGCACATAAACTGGAGCCATATCTGCCAGCGCTCCCAGCGTGCCGGGTGAAGCACTGAACAATTAAATGCCCAGCCTACGGCGTGCCAGAAGTCCTCTGCGCTACTCCACACCGAAGAAGCTTGGTTGAATTTTGTGTTCAGAGGCCTGGTATCAGGATTGTCATTCTCAACGACCATAGGGCTTTCCCCACGTCGCCTACCCTGTCGCGAAGATTCAAAGTGGGTGAAGCCGAAAGCAATATTAAACTTTGCATCCATGGAACCAACAAGGGAATTCGTCAATCGAAGAAATCGCAAAGCTGCATTGGGTGCTTCCTTTTCGTACTCGGACTCGGCGCGCGTTGTTGTTTTCGGGTGCACGAGCATGGTAGCTGCGACGGCCAGGTGCTGCGGCAGTGGAACCACTGCTTTTGTTGATGCGATAGTGCCCGATGCAAGGACATTGTAGAGAAGGCTATATGCTTGAGGCCCTAGTTGAGAAAACGGAATATTATTAGCAGCGGCTCTTTTTGAGGTTTGCCCGCACGCGTCAAAGCACGGGGATAGGGAACATACATAGGCTATCTTCGAGGAAAATTTCTGTCTGTCGAGCCAGCTCCCATTGAAGGGGTACGGGTGACCGGTATGGTACCTCGTCCATGGTTGCCATGGGCAGAGGGGGGCTTTGAAAAGCCAGCTGAAAAGATGCATTTTGAGCGGGCAGTAACGCGCTTATCGATAAGGAGTCGCGGTAGGGCGTGTGGCGCGTCGAGAGAGTTCTAAAGGTATACTATGTCCGGCAGAACAGTAGGCACTTGAATGCTGATATATGTGACATTATTCAAGAGCATAAGAAAGGCATCCAGAGTAATTCCTAGAAATAGGGTAGGATATCATTACTGTAGTCAACAAACTAAGAGATGCTTTGATAACTACTTCTATAAAAAGATTGAACTTCTTTGTTTCGATGGCGGAAACAAAGGCGGTGGAAACTAAACAATGAACTTGGCATTTCTTCCTCTAAGGACTGGGGCACATATTGACAAGTAATCGGCGATATATCAGGAAGGCTACTGTATGACAAGTCCCATGGTCGTGTTAGGCAAAGTAATAAGGTGTTTGTTTTGCTGAAATCTCAAAGCCCCAGGGTAGTAGGTACATAGTGCTAGAGATATCAGTCTATCTCAATAGCACGGAAAGAAGCAAGGGGATATCTATAAGCAGATTATGATTAGACTAAGAGAGCACAGATGTGGAAGATAGTTTGTATGTTCTTGTTTTACAGTTGTTATGCACACATAGTAGTATACATAATCTGTATTCCAAGTACTGTCTACATGGTCTGTTTACCTTGCATTTCTCTATATACATACATACATGTATGTATGTATGTATGTAGGTAAGAAGTGACAGATACTTAATCCTAAATCTATGATGCAATGGGCCCCCGCATGGGCCCTAGCCAAGAGATTGACCTGCATTATCAGAGCTCTACATACATAGGGACAAGATTCTTACTTCCATGTGCATAGATTGCAAAGGCGTTAATCCCTTACATTACACAGCCCGAGATTTCAAAGGGAGGGACCTGAAAAATATGAAGTTTGCGAGGTAAAAAAATGCAGGGTTTGAATACTTGGGAATCTAGACAAGGATAAGCCGCCTGGGGCAAAAAGGAGGGGAATTTGGACTGGTTGGCAGTGACTTCTGCGTCTTCATATTTGCTGACGAAAAAAAAAAAAAAAAAGAGAAATAGGATGCGCAGTGGCCAAGAACGGTTTAAAACCCCCGTCAATCAGTTCGCAATGCAAAGGCCTTTTATAGAGAAAAGGAGAGGCGAGAAAGCTCGGGAAATCAAGGAGGCCGTGGATACGCCAACATGGATAGCAGAGAGGGGGAAAAAAAAAGGAAAGATTAAATGGGAGTCACTATGACTCCTCGGGTATATCGGAGAAGAGACCTATTCGCAACCGATGCGACTGGTTAGAAAGAAAAAGTTAGCAAACGAGTTTCGCCAGTCTAGTTCCAAGGAGATATAACGTACAAAAGGCAGCTTGGGAATGACCACACCCAATGTGGCCAGGAAGTTGATAGTGAAGTGGGTCAAATCGAAGTGGGTGTAGTGAGTGCTGAGGAGGAAGAGCACAATAGGCACGCAGAGCAAGAACTTCTTGGCGGGTGTATACTGATCGCCATTGTCGATCTGCTCCCACATATTGAGATTGTCATAGGCACCGGCATTAAATTCGAATGGAATGCCCCGCACCCAGTGGAACATGAGGAAAGATCCGAACATGTAGCTGATATTGGTAAGGGTCCACGAGGTTTCCTGCGAGACGCCCGGGATGATGTCGTAGAAAATCTTGAGAGCGGCGATGCACACGAAATGAATGGTCCAGGCACCTACAAACAGCACGAAATCCCATGTTAGTCCTTTGGTTTCTCTGGGTAGATATGTGGTCTCCAGGGATCTTCTCTCACTCACCCTTGGCATTCACCCAGTTTGCATTCAGATTTGGCAATGCGGCCTGATCACTGGTATGCTCGATAGACTCAGCTGGTTCCTGGTAGATAAGACTGCTGGACCGCCTCCGGCGGCCTTGTTTTGAGGTCATGCTTGGAGATAGCCGATGCGGCCCTGTGTCAACATCCGGAGGGAAGGAGATCCCACGGGGGGTCAACAGAGAAGACACTTTTGAATTGTCGGACGCCAGCTTGACGGTTGGATCCAAAAGAAAAGAATAGGTTGGAAGAGAAGGAAAGAAGAATGAAAAGGAGCGTGGGGATGAGGTGGCACGGCCCAGACTGGAGTTTGCCGGTCGGATCGGCTTGCGGTCACGGGGTGCGGAAGAGCTCTCTCTCTGATTCACCTGGGCACATCTTCCTTTATTTTCTTTTAGCATAAGACTATCTCTTTTTCTTTCCATTATAGGTCTATAATTAGATTATATTGTGTTTTTTCCTTTACCTCCCTAATCTATCTCCTACCTTTTAGATTAGCCTAGAAGAAGGTAAATGCATAATGGGCCGTACATCGATGTCGAACGTATGCATGTGCGGAATCTAGCCCGAAAGGACTAGAACTAAATAAAGATATACTTTATATTAAGGATTCAGTAAAGGGGAAGATTCTTTTTTTTGTCTGGTTTGAGGATTTCTATGAAATATTACTTATCGTTGACATATCCTTTTATGGGGCAAATACTATGTCCGAGACATCCACAGGCTAGAGTCCAAAATTATTATGCTCGTTATCACCTTTACACACATTTAAAAGGAATATCTTAAGAAATATCTAAGAAGATCATCTAGAAAGACCATATGGAAAGTACGTTTGAACACAAGCTCTAAAAGGAACACCCCAAAGCACAGAGTGCTCCTACATACGATGCCCCTAGTATCACCTTGGGCTAAATAGATCACCACTAAAGTCTTATGTCGTTAAGGACAGAGGCCGAATAAGCGGCTGACTATCTTAGTGCAACTATCTCTTCAACCCTCAGGGCCGTATGTGTCTGTATAGTAAGAAGTAAGAAGTTTCCAACCTCATTATAACTAGCCAAAAGTGCATCGCGATAGATGCCAAGGCTCCATATACAATACTCTGTTGTGTCTAGAGCACGGTCTTCTTCAGTCTAAACCACTAGGTATTTTCTTTCGTATTGATAGTGCTAATCTAGCCCTGGGATAAAATGCTACTAGGTGTCAATAAACAATCGGTTGAAATCGTTGATAACTAGTACACTAGTACACTCCGCACCAGGTGATCATTTTCCCACCAGCTGTTGAACTTTGGATAGGTTTGCATCATCCGACACCAAAAGTTTATAATTAGCAATGATAATCAGACGCTAGTGCGGCCTCTGTCCTTGACAACATGGGGCTTTTCAATGTATAACCAGGGACTTGTGGTTGATAACTATGGGAGATGAGGGTGTGCCCTAACTTGATGAATCACAGAAAACACATTGGACGACTACGTGCTATAAGCCTTCATCAAGTCTTGGTTCGTAGATAGCTGACAGTACTTTGAATATTCAGCCTAATGATCTATAAGATCCATAATAACATTCGGCACTTGGGACGAAAGATGGCATAAACCCCACTCTTGGCGTCGATCGCCTCGATTTGTTATATACTCCACGGGTACGTAACTAGATCTTAGGTCTAAGACAACGCCCAGTCTGAAGAGATTTGAATGACTCGGATCATAACCCAAGCTATCATTAAGACTCAGCTAAATCTATATAAGATGTTTGAGTGTAGCCCAGGGCCAAAAGAGCTTACTGGTTATGGTTGTCTGCCCACTGCCTAGGTCACGTCGAGATCATGTTGATATTGACCATCTGACCTGTTGGATTGATCATAGAGACATCATTGTTATATTTTCAATTCTTTTACGCATGCATGTCTCGGTTATATACAACCTCAACGAGGTCAGATAGTACTCTTTATAATGATTTATTAGATAAAGTATTGTTGAACAATCTCCCATGCTTGCAAGCATATTGTTTGCTACAGACTGAGCCTTTTACCTTTGTTTGCTATTTGCTATTTGTTTGCTATGTTCAGATGGTTTCGCAGGGTTTATAAACCCCTGCATTATTAGTTTTACCAATTAACAATTCTTCTCCTGCTTTCTCCCAATCTCAGTAGTAATCTAAACCCATACATTGCTCAACAAGTATCATCAAAAAAATAAGACCAGCCGATGGATTTGTCTCCATGCCTGAATCATGGGCTCTATGGCTTATCGCCTCATGTGCCTCTTATCGTATCCTTCCAATTTTAGAATTGCGCGAGTGGTCCATATCATCCACCGTGAAGTTTTCTGGGGACCTAAATTCCACTGTTGATCCTTGAAGACTCTTACTCGATCTGTATTCCAATACTTTTGTCCAAACTTAATAATGGCAAACTCTTCAGACGAAGAAGCTGATTCACGCACAGCCCTGGTTGGCGCGCCGCGCACTCGATCGAATCCGCGTTCCACCTCGCGCTCCGCATCGCACGACAGCGCCCGCCCAGCCAAACGACAACGCCGCAGCAGAAATAAGAAGGACTCAGATCTAGCTGATTTTGTTCCAAAAGGTGTTGCATTCAGTGCAACCTCCTTACCAGTGGATGATCCAGACAGCACATCTAGCTCTGGTTCTAGTTCCTCAAGTGAAGATTCCGACTCCGAGGCGGACCCAACCACCGCCGCAAACCCACACGCCGGCAACACCGCGCCTGCAATCAGCTGGAACCAGGGTCGGAAGGCTGCAGTGCGCACATCGCTTGGAAAACGATCGGCGCCAACAGACGACAAGCCTACTCAATTTGAAGCGGTGAATGACAAATATTGGCGCAGTCGCAGTGCATCTGTCTCGGCCAATGATGAAGACAAGCGCACAACAAACGACCAATCTCAAAATGACGATGAGCTGGAAGATGGAGAGATTGACTCCAAGAGTGACACGGATGATTCGGATTCTCTTGGTTCTGAAGCCGATGACTCTATCCTACTGAACATAGGGGATAAGATGGCCAATGACTATGACCCTGCCACCCTGGCCCATGAGCATGGTTCCAACTCAAATCTGAAAGGCGCATCTGCACAAACCGGACCTGGATCGAAAGAGGAAGCATTCCGGCTTTTCTCACTCAAGTATCCAAACGCGCCTATTGCGTTAGTGGACCTAAGTCAGACAGACCTCGAGATCATTGCGAAGTACGTCTATTTCGATCGCAACATCCATGATCTAGATCTCAAACTTCCTATCTCTTGCATCGAATGTCAATGCGAGGGCCATATGGCCGATGTCTGCCCAGCAAAAGAGGTATGTTCTATCTTGCATCCAATTATTTTATTTTCATCTCACTAACCTCAAATATAAAGTGTGAACACTGTGGTGCATGGAATCTGCATCAAAGCAGCATTTGTCCCGACTGGCGACGATGCCAGAGATGCCGCGAACGTGGCCACGACGAGCCGCAATGCAGTTCAAAGCTACGCGGTTTCGCATACGAAGTGCCTTGTGATTACTGTGGCAACGAGCACTTGGAAGCCGAGTGTGATTCTCTATGGAAGTTCCCAATCAGGGATCTTCACTCCAACCAAGTGACAGTGTCAATCTGCTGTGCAAATTGCTGCAGTGCCAAGCATCTTATGGGAGACTGCCCAGCTACTACCATGTACACAGAAACCTTGAAGTCATCGTCATTTACCCTGAAGGGCATCGATCCCGACATGATCACGAACCTCAATACTGTCGTCCCGCCCCGAGAGAGCCGCCCACCTAGTCGAACTTCAGCCCGCGGAAGAAAGAGGGGGTGGTCTCCACCTCCATCCCCAGAAGAAGATGACATAATGTCCCGTGTATCCCGAGGCCGAGGCCGCCCCATCCCTGCGCCGCGTGGAAATACTCGTGGCAGTATTAAGTTCGCAAACGGAGTTGGAGGAAAACGTGGTGGTGATTCACCATCCAGAGGACCTTCTCGCGGTCGATCAACTTTCTCCAATAACAGCAACCGTGCGCGCTCCCCGAACCCGCCCCTCCCACGAGGTCCTCCTCCTTCAAGAGGCGGTGGCCGAGGCGGTGGACCACAACGAGGAGGAGGATTCTCACGTGGACCCCGTGGAGGCGGCAGAGGCCGCGGGTGGTGAGAAGGGGGATGAGAAGTGAGGAGTAGAGGCCGGCGAAAGCCATGTACATAGCAAACAACACAGTGTCGACCATTTCTCTCAGCCTCGGCTGAGAATTTATGTACGATTAAATGAAAACTCATTCCAGCAACTCTCACTCCAGTAAGTATATTTCTCACATTGTACGTATGTAGTATACGCCCATGCTGCCTCGACAGACTATCTATGATGACACAACACTGGAATTAGATCACGCACCATGCTCATCACTCTCTCGAGTCCCGAGGAATCCCTCCTCTAGAATACCGACCAGATCATCCAACTGCCTAATACAAAGGTCGGTATGCGGATGTTCCTTCAAATGCACATTCAGCTCATTCAAAAGCAACACCGTAGCAGCGCCAGCCATATGCCCAGCCGTCATATCATCAATGCTATCACCAACCATGATCAAATTCTCACCATTAACGAGGCCCCATTCACTCGCAATATACAGAATGCCCGCGGGATCAGGCTTGGGCAGGAGATTGGGTGTGTCCCGCGTGATGATGGGTAAGAAGATATGACCGTCGAGATGGTTGTCAATCAGGTTCTGGACTGGTGTTCTGAGAGATTCGGATACTTGTTAGCGCTGTATGTACATTGCACAACCCGAATGGATATGGATGGAAGGTCCCAAGGTTTATGTCCTGGTTGCGCGTAATTGCTATAACGTACTCGAAGTTCCGTGTGCAGAGTGCCCGTCGTAAGCCGCGGGTTTCAAGGTAGTCCATTAGGCGAACTAGGCCGGGCTGTGGCTTCTGGTCGGCCATGGCTCGGCGTTCCACTGCTTGCACTTTGGCTACGGCTGTGGCTTGGTCTGCGGTTGGGAGTTCGCGGATGTGCTGGAGGATGTCGATGGAGCGATCGATTCCTAGTGCTTCTCTATATTGGGAGATTTGTTAAAGGGGTTTAGGAGGGGGTTGGCTTTGAATAACCCGCGGACAGTAGATCATACCTCATTTCGCTGAACATGTGGTGCTGTGGCAGACTGGTCAAGGTTAGCTAGGTTCGGTCAATATCAATAAAATTGACTTGTTGATATGATCAGAGCTTAGTATAATTAGAATCGCCGAATATGCTCGATTTCCCCGTGATTAGACAGGACAGTAAAGGCTGGAACAGAATATAAAACTAGAAGAGCATGGAAATGCGGCTCCAGTCAACTACTATATCTCAGACCCCAGGCGGCAGCAATTCTCGTCTAACCTGGAGTATATGCAGAGACCATAGCGAATATAGGATTAAACCGAGAATTATCGGGCAATCCGCGCAGCATTTTTAAAGCCAGAGATCTGAGTCCAAGACATACTTTCCCGAAAAGGAAAGTAAGTTTCTGCCTGAATCTCAAATTGATGCCCTAATCTCCATTTCCTGCCCGCTTCCAATTATAGCATCAAGATACATATCAACCCCGGATGTATGCAACATAGCGGATATCCAACAGGGAAAAGAACTACAGCGCAGAACTTGTACAAAATATAAGGAGCAGAAAGTGTGACTCACCACAAAGTCCCATCGACATCAAACACAATTCCCTTCAAGAGAGGGGCAGTCGACCCCTCAGCAGAACCGAGAGGTGCGAACTTTCGCGGACGAAGATGTTTGCAGGCGATAGCAGACATGATGGAACGAGTAACGTGCCTTATATTGGACATGAACACAGAGAGAGAGGGAGAGAGGAGCCCTGGAGGTTGAAGAGGTGGAGTTAGCCAAGTGGAGCCACGGGAACGATCTACATATAAAGTTCAAAGGTTCCAAGGTTCAAGTGCCGACTTCGGTAGTTCCTTCCTTTAACTACATAAAGTAGTTACCTAGGTTACTAAATACTATAACTATACATTATCATGCATTGTATATGATGGCTGCCAAAAATCATGATGATTACACGGTCGGGTGGATCTGTGCCTTACCACTGGAGATGGCAGCCGCGCAAGTACTTCTAGATGATAGATACGCACCCGCCATGGCCAACGGGTCGTTGTCCTTCCTCGGTACTCCTAGGTTGGTTAAATGGGTTCTCCGTGAAAGAAGGTGTAAATATAACTATACTATTCCGGATCCCCATCCCTCATACTCTTTTGAGCCAAGGTCGTAACTATTCCCATGACTAAATAAACAGCCTTTGAGTCGGGCATGGTTCTATCATAGTCTAGAGCAATAGATATAAGAAAGTCTTCGGTACGGGTTAGCATTCTGTCGCCTTCATATCTATCAGAGTATTAATGTCTTATAGTCTTACTCTTCTTCCTGGCTCTTTCCTTATCTGAACAAGTGGTTTGTAGCTTCCTTAATTGTAAATAGGCCATTCATATCTTCACCAGCTGAGTCGCCCATAGTCTTCCCCTCGTCCCCTTTGCTTCTTCCTCCCAATTCATCATGGATCGAAACCTCTCCACTGTTTTCCCCATATCCCTCCTAAGAACAATATGCCTCATCGGTTCTCTCTCTTGGCTGCAACTGCTCTACGGAGTCGCCTACCTCGTACATCCATTCTGGAACACAAGGCGCGAGTTTCCACCTTTCAACAAAGCCATCAACCGTACAGAAAAAAGCATTACCAACGCTTTCTTCGGCCCTGTCCCACTCTCAGCCTATACTTCCGCAACAGAAACAGAGCGCCAGTGGTACCTTTCATCAGGCAATGATACTTTGAACCACGAGAGCAATATCCGCAACCCCAACTTGCCAACCACCTCAACCTGGCCACAGCAGGGGCCTCAATACTCGGATTCCTCATCAGAGCAAGAAAGTCCCACGTCACAGCCAGATACCGAACATCATTCCCCCATCCACGAAACCGTGCGCAAGTTCCGATCCAGCACACGAAGCAGCATCTCAAAGATCGCCAGCTCTGTAAAGGCCATCTTCCAACAGCCGCTGACCATTGTCCCACGGACTCTGGACGGTCAGCCTTCCGACGAGGAACGCGCCGAGCCAAACCTGGTTCCAGTTTCAGTATACACTTCACAGCCTTACTTCGCCCGGCCCGTGTCTTCCCCCGTGCCCATGTCTGCACCAGCGCGTCTCGCAGATCACTTCAGTGACCCTGGTCCGTCGACTGGAATCAAGGCACAGCAGCCCGTCCCGTTTGGGGCGACCATTAATGCGGCGGAAGATTCTGAGATGGTGCAGATGAATCGCACGCGCAAGTATCACTCTATTGAGAGTTATCCTGGAAAATTCCCTGTTAGCGATACGTTGGATTATAGCTCGCTTGCTACCGCTTATGCTGTTAGAGGGAAGGGGACTACATCTGTTCGGCCTTTCTCGGATTACTAGGGCTAACTTTTGGTGATTGGGTATTATTCTGGTTTGGTTTTGGAGGTGATACCATGACGATTATGATTGTTTCTTGACTGAAGTCTTTGAATCGGGTGCTCTTTATTGCTTTTCTTTTTCTGGGGACAGGGCGTCAGAGTCAGTGTTGTACTTGGGACTCTACTAGTTATTCATTATACTCATTACCAAAGATCGGGTTTGTCATTCTTGTCATTCAATTCATCTTGCCTTCCATTCGTTCACACGCTCTTACGATAATCGCATTGCTACCTACTGGTGTTCCTAGGAGCCCATCTTCGAACATACCTATCAATCTCCACGCTATATCATCTACTCTTTCCTTCACGATACCACTAAGATCAAACCCTAACGAGAGGCATAGAAGACTGATTCTGATGAAAAACGCTCTCAATTTTTCAAAAGCCGAATTCTATTTGATGATGCACCAGTCTATCCAGGCCAATAACGCCAGCAAATGCTAAACATAACGAACATAACGAACAAACCCATGCCTATCCCTATATCCCTTTATTTCTCAGTCTGCCATCCCTCCCATCTCTCAAAATCCCCCGTATCCAAATCAAACAGATCCAATATACACCCAACACTCTGACTAACCAAGTCATCCACCGACGCAGCCCGAATATAGTACGCTGGCACAGGTGGAAAGATGACCGCCCTAGCACGGGAAACCTCCAACATATTCCGCAAATGAACATCACTAAGCGGAGTCTCCCTCGCAACAAGCACAAGCTTCCGTCTCTCTTTCAACACATCCGCCGTGCGCGAGATCAAATCATCACAGAACCCACTATGAATAGCAGCGAGTGTCTTCATACTGCATGGAACAACGATAATTCCATCGGCTTTGAAAGAGCCGCTGGCAATCGGCGCAGCCATGTCGTTGATGTTGTGGACATGATCTACTAGTGCTTTTACATTCGACGGGACCGAACAATGTGCATTCCATAAGTCTGGATGTACTTTCCTCCTATCGACGTGGTGGATCATGTGTGCAGGAAGCTTAGTTAGATCAACCTGACTTCCAAGGTTTCTTCGAGGAAGGTCTCTCTGTAAGGGCCGGTGGACACAATGTTGGGTGGCATCGGGGCCATGCTGCTGGTTGAGAGCATCTTGTCGAGGATGTCGCGCATAGATGCGGTCGGTGGCAAGGCCAGGTGTCGTGCAAGTCGGCCATAGCGATCCTTTGGAGGCTTCCTAAGAGATGCAGGAGCACCTAGGATGCGAAAAAGACCGTTTTTAGCGCCAATGAGGTTGTTGAGGAGCGGGGCCTTGTCGTCCGTTTCACAGACAAGACGAGTAATGGCGGCCGCTTCAAGGTTTGGGTCGATTGGAGAGTCGATCTCAACCAGATCATTGTCGGCCTTCAAGGCCTCGACAAATCACCGGAAGCAGAGGTGAGGCTCAGTGTTGGTCACTGTGAATCTGGTGGAGATTGTGTATGTGTTGAGCGGAGTTGGACTTTTGAACCAGAGCAGTCCTTGACAACTTAGCCAGCTTAAATATCCCCGTGAGAGTCTTCAAAACAGCTGTCTCGGCTCGCCACACATCAAATTCAAGTAAGGCTGGCCGGTTTATTCACAAGGGTTCTGGGGATGCTGCATGCACACTTCGGCACTTCGGATGGTGTGGAGGGTCCATTCCGAGACCCCGATTCCGAGCTACCGAACGTCGATCCATGGAACTCGAACTCATTCTGTATGTGTATCCAAGGGAAATTGATACTCAGAATCGGATGTCAGAGTCATCGTCATGATATAGATGGATCATTGCCGCTAGGGTCGGCTGTTGCTCTAAAAGGAAGCCCACATGGCGTCGGCACTTCGATCGGCAGCGGGGAATACTAAATAAGAGGGGTAGACTCCCAGAAAGCACAGAAACAGAAACAAAGCACATCATGTTCTATCAACCGGGAGTGACAGAGCACAATCTTCCCCACGACCCGTTTAAGGTGAGGCTTCAGGGTAGACAATGAACGACATAGCTAACGCTGACAGGCGTGCGTGGTGCCTCGTCCGATCGGATGGATCTCCACCCAGAATAAAGAAGGCCAAGCCAACTTAGCACCTTACTCCCAATTCAACAATCTCACATTCGACCCGCCGTACGTGATGTTCTCTTCCAACCAGACCGTGAACGGCACGCGTAAGGATACAGTGGTCAACGCAGAGCAAACCGGACGCTTCGTCTGGAACCTGGCGACATGGGACCTTCGCGAGGCCGTCAACATCTCGGCGGAGCAAGTACCTTACGGGGTGGACGAGTTTGAGCGTGCCAGGGTGACTAAAGAGCCGGCTACGCTGATGGATGTCCCTATGGTGCGGGAGTCGCCGGTGAAATTCGAGTGCGAATATCATTCCACCTTGCGGCTACCGGGGAACCCTCCGATGGGCACCGTGGACGTAGTGATCGGCCGAGTGATTGCCGTGCATATCAAGGACGAGGTGTTGACGGATGGAATCCTGGATATCAAGAAGACGAAGCCGATCGCGCGCTGTGGGTACTATCAGTATACGGTGGTGACGGAGACGTTCGACATGGTGATCCCCGGTATGTCCGAGGATGTGTTATACGGGTTAGAGGGAAGCGTGAAGCACAATCGCGAGGCCGAATTGCGGGATACATGATCGGGGGAATCATTAGTAGTCAATTGAACAAATATAAATCAATCTCTAGGGGGAGAGGTTGTTCGGATGTAGAGAGAAAATATAACAAATGAATGATTGCCTTATGTATACCCAGGTGTATAGCACTCATGGGTCAATGGTGCCTGAATGTCTAGTTTATGCCTGACCGGGTTTATTATGTGAACGCCAACCTTTCTTCCATGGAGGATGTGGTATATGTATGCAAGGTCTTGCCACGCTATGGATCCTGGGGAGTCTCTCGGCCAGAAAGTCCTATTGGAGTTATGTGAGAAGCCATCAGGATGAGCCAAAGGGAGCCTCCCTCAGCGACGTCTTCTTCTTTGACGGAGAACTGCTCGTCGCTGTGTGCCTCGGCCTCCGGTTTCAGAGGCTCCCGAGGTTGCTTTTCCACCGGCTGCTCCAGAAGGCCAGATCGGTCAGCGCAGTGGGACGACTCCTGGTACAATCTGAAGGACGGCTATTTATGTAATTCTGCTTGCACCCACTCGTCCTGTTCGAGTTCTATAGCAGAGCTTCGATTTTCTGGCTCCCATTGTAGCATTTTCCGCACTAGACGGAGAAACATATCTTTTTCCTTTCCCTGGAGACTAGTCTCTCTTTGCTCGAGGGGGATATGTTCTCCCACTAATTCTCCGGCGCAGAGGTCACCTAGAATAGCGAAAACGGTCAATAATCAACACGTCCTACTCAAGGAATAGGAAGAGGGATAGATAGATGAATTACCTTCCTCTGTAAAGAAATTCTGCGTCAGATTCCCCCGGGCAAGGAAACTTGGTGGCGGCGGACCGAGTAGGCGTATCATTTCGGCAAGATGGGCACGGCTCCTGTAAGTATGATACTCCGGGTCTTGACCGCTAAACAGCGAACCCCCTTCGTAAAGGTTCCAAATCTGAGAATGTAAGCCTAGGAACTTGTGCACCAGAAGTGTCGGCTCTCGTACCACGCATCCCACGTTCCATATGTCAACGCTATATGACCACGGAACTTGCAGGATCACTTCTGGTGCTCGATATATATCCGGCTGAATGTCTCCCAAGTGCTGTTCATCACCCATCACAGCCGAGCCAAAATCGCAGAGGATAGGCGCGCCTAGTATTTTAGGCATTCTGAGCTCGCGGGAGGTATAGATCACCCTTCCATCGACCTCCTTCCTAGGACAGGGATTTTGGAGCTCATTGTTTTCAAAATCACTAAAAACGGAATCATCATCAATGCCGAACATAATGTTATCTGCTTTGATATCTGATATGTTTGATAAGCAAATGATCAAGCTCGAGATCGAGAAGAGAGAACTGTACCTGTATGAATAATATTGCATTCTGTATGTAGATAGTTTAATGCAAGAAATAGACGGTGAAGCGTCACGGCCAAGATTGGTGTCGGTAGTCTCTGTACCGGGTTGCGGGATAGAAAATCCAACAAACTCTCCCACAACGGAGGATGTACGAGACATCGGTGTTTGTCTTCAGGTCCGTTGACATCAAAGGAGTCCAGCAACGATCTAACATACTTGCGGCCTGGATGTTTCCGGGGAGCTTCTTCGATACGTTTATATATCTTCAGTTCGTCGTCCAGTTGCTGCCCCATCGACATGGACTTTATAAAAACCTTGAGAGTGACATATTGATTATAGCTGTATTTCCAGTTAGCTTAAAGAGTTGTGAAAAGACATGGCAGTGGTATCTTCTTACTCCATGTCACGTGCGAGCCACACCGTTGAGCTGGCACCAAATCCCAGTTTCCCCACAACTTGGTACCTGTCCTTGAGTATCTCCCCTATTCGAGTAGGATAATATCGACCTGCAACATAGCCCGGGATGGTTTCTTCCTCGATTGCCTGGCTCGTTGATATTCGAGTGAAATCCAGATTGGTGAAATTGAGAGGTTTCCATTTTCGTCCGAGTCGGGGCAATGACCGAAGAAAAGACGATAGCATTTCTGAGACAAACTGGTTTTCTTTTGCAGGGCGCTAGATTTACGTTCGAGATATAAAATATCAAGACAATGATGGGTCTATCTATAGATGGGTGTTAGAAGATGGTATCCTTCTACGAAAAAGTCCTTTGTAGGGGGATTTTGATGCCTGGATACCTGAATTCGTACTACTTTATACATGTACAGTAAAACCTGTTTATAACGAATTAATTGAAACACGATGAAATATTCGTTATATCCAGGTATTCGTTATATCCAGGTGCCATATAAAATATATATATTTCTAGTTTACATACAAATTTATGCTCTAAAAAAAGCCCTAATATCTCTCTGCTTCTTCCCTTCCAATTTCCTCGCTTCCAGTAACCTTTCATGCCTATAAAGCGCACTAATTAACTGGGTTTCTCCCTGCTCCTGCTGCTCTTCATATATAAAGGTATCAGGAGGAAAGGATTTCGGAGATCGTAGAGGGCGAGGGACGATGGTTATAGGCTTCATAAAACCACTGAGCGAGCTCTTTACTAGAGAGTAAAGGGTTGATTCGGCGCTGCTCTCGTAGTGCCGCTTTCTGGGAGGTTGGGATCGATCGGCGAGGCATTTTGATTGGTTGGGAATGCTTGAAAAAGTGGAGATAAAACCTCGATATAACGAATTTTGTATGGAGAGGAATGGTGAATTAACGAAGTTCGTAGTAAGGAGGTAATTTCGTTATTACTATGGCGGATTAATTGGTGGGCCGGTATTACTTCGTTATATCCAGGTATTCGTTATAACCAGGTTCGTTATAAACAGGTTTTACTGTAGTTACACCGCCCTAATACAGTGAGTGTACTGTAAATTGTTAATACATCAACCTGCCTAGATGAAGCTTTTATTCATTTATGGTATACAAATCCCCCTATTCCTTAAACCTACGTCTCCGCTAACTTCGCCGAGATGTAGTGACCGGAGATCGAGCACGCTTCCGTCTTGCTGGCCTTGCTACCGCTCCACCACTCCCTGTTGAATTAATCAATCCCTATATTTTGAACTTCCAGACCAGCCAGAAATATGGAGATACTTGATTTGTATGGAGGTCAAAAGCTTCCAAGCTTCATTTGTTGGACTTGTAAACGCGGCAGAATCAACCTTGGAACGTCTTCGAACATCCTTCCAAGGTTGCTACACACCGGCCCGGCCCGTGAACGGAACTAAACTTAGCTTATATGGGCCTCTTGGAGAAAATATGCCCATATTTTAGGAGTTTTGTGTGAAATAATCTTAGGACTTCTGGGTCTTTAGCCACATGCGCATTTGTTTGTGTAAAGACATACACGAGATGGAATACACCCTGAAAAGTTCACTACGGACATCCTCTAAAAGGAAATCGGGGCAGTGCTTCAAGTGTGATCCTTCTAGTCCAGCTTCCACGTCGTGTCGTCTCGAGTCCATTTCGCCTGATGATCTATATATAAAAGCCGCCTTGTCTTCTCCGGCCAAGATCCCGGTTATTCCACCAAGCCACACCCCAACCGATGTTCACCGGTGTCGTTTCGTCTGCGATTGATCGATAAGCGTGTTCACGAAGGAGATCCTCAGTTGGAAAGGGATTTTCTTCCCAGACTTTAAAAGACATATTTAAAGAAGGAAAGTCCTTAGGCTTGTTTCAAGTTGGTTCTGAGTATATGATTTCGTAATGTGACAAAATTAAGAAGAAAGAGATTGTTTACAATTGAGGAAGCTACAAGTGCTTAGGCTGTAATAGGGAAAGAGCCACCTGGGCAGAAGTTCCCTTCCAATATTACACGAGGCTTTGCTAATATATTAACCTTGACATCTAACCTAGACACAAAGCAACGCGAAGACGCAAAAGATAATTCCACACCTCAAAATTGGAATAGATTATGTCTTCCTCTGCACCATTATCTACACCACAACACAAAAGCTACAAAGAGGAGGCTTAAACCTCTGCACGCTCACTAGATGCACGAGAGCAACTGCATGCCCGAAAAAAAGGCCACGAAAAAATAAGCAGAGAAACTTAAGGTAGAAAAAGCCAGGGAGGCGAAGAGAAGACATAACTTCCTGCTCATCCCATGGGCCATTGACATAAAACATGAAAGGGTAGGAAATATTGTAAACATTTAAACACGCAAACACATTGCTCATAGATTTGGGGGGGGTAAAGGAACTGAAACCAGAGTCCCCGTGAACGGTCATAACTTTCGTAAGAGGAATAGGAAGAAAAGGCAAAAGACGCTAGATGGAAACAGAGATTGAAAATATCAACCCAGGGGTATCACAATGCAAGTCTCAATATTGCTCATCTTCGTAGTCGATTTGCGCGGGACTGCCTTGGTAGCGGGTTCGCTTGATGTTGCCTGGGCTGTAGGAGCCGGCAGATGTGAGGGGACGCGGGCCAGTTGGCTTGCGTGTGGGGGGAGAGCAGATGGCAGAACTCTGAAGATAGTATTAGAAGTTGTTCAATTTAACCGATGGGGGAGGAGCCTCTGGGATACATACTCTGGAAACAGCACGGTCGCCGCTGTAGGCTGGTTCCTCACCATCCGCCACTTTGGATGGACGCTCGGGAATGAGCGGGCCCGCGTCCTTGACCTTAGGGGGACGGGGTGGACCCGGTGTACGCGTTGCGCGGGAGCTGGTCTCCGAGTAGCCTGCGTCGGAGATCGGGGACAGACGCGTGGCACCGCTGACACCGCTGTTGCGGTTTTGGGGAGGGTTGGCAGCAGACAGGCTGGGGTTGGATTCCCACTGGTCTGAGCCAGCGGGAGAAACTGGACCTCCGTAGATCTGGGCCTCGGTTTCGAGGCGGGACTGGTAACGTCCGGTTGGGCCTTGTCGAGGCTGGGGGTGCTGCAGCTCGAGACTACCACGGTGGCCGCGGTACTTGGGCGCCTCAGACACCTGGGAAGGAACTAATGGCGAAGGGGGTCTGTTCTCATTGTGCTCGTCGTCGAAGGTATAAGTGGATCGAATTCTGTCGTCTCCCTGGGGATCATAATATTTATAGGCGCCATGGGGTGCGAGATCAGACCCGGACCGAGACTGATCAGAGTTCGGACGTTCCTTGCGGGAGGGCTGGATGCTGTTGCGAATGCCATCGCCCATGGAGGTGGCGGTGGACTTAGACCAACGGGAGATCTTCGGGAAGATGGACGAGCTGCTGGACTTGTGCTTGCGGGCCTTCGGGGTTGTCTCGGTGCTGCGAGCTGATGTGGCCACCGGCTTGCGTGGAGGCGTGTCCAGGGGCAATGAACCAGACCGCTCGTGATGGGGCGCACCACGGACAGGGAGATGTGAAGTCAGGAACTGGTCACCATCGTCAAGCTCAAGATCTTCGTCAACTTCATGGACGGTGCTGACTCGCTGGTCCGAATCTCTGCGTTGTCCATTGGCCGGGCGAGAAGAGCTGGACCCGTAGGGAGATCGGCTCGTCTCGGCAGGTGCTCCGTTTAAACCGGGAGTCTCGTACCCACTTGGCTCCATGCTTCCCATTCTGGTCATACTGTGAGGGCTGAAGCCATCTTGTCCGGATCGCAGGGCCTCAACCTCGCCAAGCAGCTGCTCGAGCATGCCTTCAATCTTGGTCAAATCGCTGCCCGACTTGAGGTTCAATCCCTTCAGTGCACGCTTGAAGATGCTCTTCCGCTTGTCTTCCTCGTTAGCCGTGTTCAGCTGCCGATTCCGAGAAGCGCTGGGGGGCAATGGCCGGGGACCACCAAGCGCCTTGTGAGTCCGCTCATGTCCCCTGTCACTAGTGTCCATGATAAGATCATCTTGGTCGGCGATGAATCTCTTCATCTGCTCGAAAGAGGTGCGCATCTCAGCAGCACTTCGAACTAAAGTAACCAGAATCTCGGTGTCTCTGGCATTCCGCTGAGCATCCCGAACAGTCAAATGATCCATGAGAGCCACAATATCTTGGGATTGAATTCTCTCGATACCTCGGCCAGTGGCACTGTCGTAGAGTGGTGAACCAACACCGTGAGAGTAGCCACTGAAGTGGCGTTCATTGCCAGAGGTAAAAGGATCGTCTGCTCCAGCAGGACTATCGAAACTACCCATTCCAGCGGGATCCACGCCCACAAGACCTCGACTAGCTTGCTTCGGGGTCCCGATGCTGGGAGACATAGGGTTGGCAGCCGAAACATAGCCTTCATCCTTGGCACCAGGAGGTGTACCAAACAATGCCCGGGGTTGGTTCTCGCCAGAGTGGTTCTCGCCAGAATGGGCAGAGTAGTCATCGCCACCAAAGATATTCTGGGCAGTCTGGTAGTATTCCGCATCAAGCCCTATCTGCTGCTCAGCATTGAGACCCTTAGATCCACCGATCTGAGTATCGTAGTAGTGATCCGCCGGCGGAGACTTTGAATCGTATCCCCAGTGATCTGCCTGAGCGACACCACCAATGGGGCCCTGGATAATGGACGGATTAGTGTTGATTTCAGACTCCGATTCTTGGCTTTCAGCATCCTCGTGAGGGCTCTCCATTTCACGCGGGGCATTGTCGGCCATCATAGCAGAGTCGTCAATGTCCTCGAAGGACTGGGTAACACTCTGAGGGGGCGATGTGGCACCCATGCGGCGAGGGAACGAGGTCTCATCGGCATGGAAAGCATCCTGGCGTTGCTTCAAGGGGCTTCCGCGGTAGACTTCGCTTCCTGCCTTTTCAGGGCTTCGGCTTCGTGGTCGTTGAGCCAGATCGGTTTGCGAGCGGTTCGTGGATGAGATCTGAGATTCAAGGACAGATGGATCCATCAAGGAAGCGACTGCGGATTCGACGGCTATCGGGTGCATAAATCGAGGGTTAGCAGCAACGCCGGTAGTCACCTGGTGGCCTTCTTTGACTTTATCCATGAAGTCAAAATCGCTGTCTCCGTCGTCGCCAGAGCGCCTGCTCTGCTCGTCATAGCCATAGAAGCCATTGTCTTGGGAGCCCTGGCGCGAATGTTCGTATCCGAGCCCAGGTGATTCCTGGCTGTGCTGTTTGAAAATCCCACT